AAAAATCAGAAGCCCAGTTTTCAAAATAACAAATAAAAACAACTTAAAGTTATAATCAAAAAAAAATTTTTAAAAATAGAAAGCCTTATGGCTTATTAAAATGTTTCAAAAATTATAAAAATACCCATACAAAAATATTATTTTACTTTTATTTGGGTATCAAATAGTCGAAGCCTTAATCGTAAGCCTTTAAAAATGCAGGCAAAATAAATTACCATAATTATTCACTATCAGGCGTAATAAAAATGTACGCTTTGTTTAAAGCAGAAAACAAAAACAAATAGGAAACCCCAACTGGAAAATAGACAAAAAGCAAAAGAAAGAAAAGCTACTCACCGCAAAAAACAATAACACAAAAAATATGATTACGTTCGTTGAAATTTATGACTCTTTTAAGGCTTTCAAAATATATGTATTTTATATGTTTTACACACAACAAATCACAAATAAAAAACCATAGAAAATAATACACTTTTTTTCTGGCAATGCAGTATTTGTTTGCAAGCAAACTTTGTCTTTTTCCGATGCAGTAACTATTTTATAAAATATATATATTTTAATTTATTTACAGGAAAGCGAGTTAGTGGAAAAAAAAATATAATTAATTTTAAAACATTAACCGGCAAATCAAAAAACACAGATTTATTAGGCCGATTTTCCAGTTTTCCCGATATATTTTCAGAGTTTTTTTTTTTGGAACCGAACGCGGCAGCGGACAAAAACAAAATGCAGGGCATCGAGAGAGAAAAGTTAGGAACATATTAAGAAGAAGCGGCAGCAGATCCAAAAAAGCAGCAAAAGATAAACAAAAGTTATGAGTTGAAATAAACCAAAATTTTTGATGTTTCTCAATGAGCGCGCGCGTGCCTTGTCTTTATTCTTTTTTACATAGATAGTTTTCATTGCGTTTCCTTATGGTCCGAGTTTTTTTTTCACCCATTTCTGTTAGTCTATATTTAGCTGGAATTTGAACAATTTTTGAGTGAAAGAAGCAGAAGCAGCAAATACTCCAATTTTCTTGGGTGGCCGCTCTCTGGAATTCGACTTTCCTCATTTTCCCCGAGCTGCATGTCTCGTAAAGACCAAACAAAATAGGTAGAAAGTTCTACAGTAAAGTGTCCTTAATTTAAACTATCTAAAAACAACACTTTAAATATTAATTTTTTTAATAATCTGTTTTAAATTATGGATGATTTATATAATTTATGATGTATATATAGATATTATAAATATAAGAAATATGTAGCAACATTTAAATATTTAATAATACTTTACAAAATATTATATGCTTAAACATTAAAATTATAAAATTAATTTACCTTTACTTTTAGAATTCCAAAAGTATTAACACACCAAACACATAAAATATTTTAAAATTTCAGCCAGAAATGGATTTATCCAAATAAATAAATAAAATCTAAAAATCCATCTTACGGACTTAAGACTGTTCGCAAAAAGCTGCCCAAAAGTGCAAAGAAAATTGCCATGAATTCGTTTTTTTTTGGGGTAATAAAAATTGATGGTCTCTGGTTTTTCGCTTTTGGTCATAAATATTGCTGCTTTCTGTTGAAAAACATTTATGGAAATATATAAAACATCTGGACACAAGGCAAATCAAAGCCATTAATTAACCATAAGTGACCACTAAGCGAAACTACGAAGCGGGAAAACCTATGTGCTTTTCAATTTCCCATTAGCGAGATCATCAAATTCGAGTTTTCTTCATTGGGAAAATGAGAGCATCGGTTCTGGTGTTATTTAAATCAGAGAACTGGACCCTGGTACTTCATTAGTATGCTCGTCACGTGTCCCTGGAAATGTCCTGCTTAGTATTGCCCTCTCCTTCTTTTCCGCTGCCCCGTCTCTTTCCTTCGTATTGGGACTCATCAAATTATTCACTTTCCAAGAGTGCTGCGAAAAAAGATTATCCTTTTTTGTTTTTCCTTATAATATTTTCTTTTCTTGAATCACTTTTACAGAGTGGTTTCACATATTACTCACCCGACCCTTAAGCCAATTGAAAATAGTAGTAAAAAATAAATTTCACTGCCATTTACAGTTTTGTATTTAAATTTATAACAAATATTATTTTTTAATTTTAATTTCTCTAACGTTTTGAAAATAAAATTTTAAATAAATGACTATTTATATAAATATAAGTTGAATAAAACTTTAAAAATCAAACCTTTTTTCCTACTTTGATAAGATAGTTTATTATAATTAGTTAGATATTTTAGTTATCAATTTATCCAATTTTAATTTTTATTGTCATTTAAATTTTGAATTATTTTCTTTTTTTTTGGACAACTCTGTTCCCAAAGGTGCAAAAAATCGTAAGGAAAGTGGGGGAGAAAGTGAAAGTGATGGCCTGTCAACTGACAATGTGGGGCCCCCAAGAAGAAAGTGACAGAAGGTGAGAAAACGACAAAAAAAAAGGAGAGGAAAATGCGGGGAAATTGCAGGACATCTGAGCATCATTAGATCAATGAAACGAGAAGAGGAATGGAAATGGCACTCAAAATTACGTTCGCAATATTTTTTGGAGGAATGTGTCAACTTGTCTCTTCGCTGCTTCTTCCCACTCCTTCACTTGCATTTCCACACAAAGGAAAAGCTAAGGGAAAGCAAAGGAGACATTTTTGGCACACTCGACTTATTTGTCCATGTTAAGGACTACATTGTTGCGTTTAACCCTAAACTAATAATATCTTCAATGAAAATCTAGTTTAAAGACAATGATATTTAGATAGTTAGTGAAAAATAATAATATAATGTTGAATATATTTTACAGTATTTCTAACATTTTCAATATATATTTTGCTATCTTCAAAATACATATACATAGGTATAATAATAATTATGTTTAAATAAAATGTAACATATTTAGAAGTTTATTCAATGGCGAATATAATGTTGCATATATTAAATTAGCTTGAATAATTTGTTCAGCATTTCTAATATTATTAATATTTATTTAGCAATCTTAATAATACATATATAACAAAAATCATCTTTAAAGAAAATGTATTTTAAATATATTTATTCAAAGAAGAATTTAATGTTGAGTATGGTTATTATATTGGATTATGGATGGATATTTAACTATATTTTCAAAAGTATAATAATTATTTTTATGAACTATTATTATTTATAAATATTTGTGTATATAATTGGGCTAGGCTGTAGAGTAATTCCACTTATTGGATTTTAAATCATTAGTAACTAACAGGATTAAACAAATTGTTATGAATAAAATATTATATTTTCAAAATGATACTGTGTTGGTGGTTTTTGGGGGTAGTTCAATTTAAATTGCCGATAAACCGATTTCTGAAAATTGAATTTCGATTTCTAAGAGTATTTTTTCTGTGGCAAAACCCCTATGGGGTTAAAATCGCCACTTTATCAATGGCGCATTTACCATTTCCTGCAGCTCCTGCGTCCTCGCTGCCTTTTTGGCCAGGATATTGTTGTAAATGCTGCTGTTCCTGTCACGATAAGATGACTTGAGCCCGCGCATATTTCATGTGTCTGTCGTTTGTCCCTCGCCGAATTCCGCCGAATTCCGAATTCTCCATGCGGATTTGAATATTTAAATAAACTGCTCACTGGCGTGTTGTCACTCGCATTGCGGCTGTTTAATTGTCATTTCGTGTGCAGAAACCGAAATGCCAAATAAACACAAATTTACGCAAGCGACCGATTGACGTGCATGAAGTGTTTTCGGCTGAGATGGGCACAGTGCTTGATGGGGCCAAAAGGATTTTTAATCAATAAATAAATATATTTATTAAATTCTGAGTAATTGAATTGTAAATTTAATATAGCTCTGCACCGTGTACCGTTGAAATTTGACATAAATAATGCCAATAGATACAATTAAATGTAGAAATCATTTTCAAATATTGCATCAACATCAAAGAGTTAAGACCTTTACTTTTAAATATGCATGCTAATGGCATATTTGGTATAGGTTTATAGAAATTAATTTAAAAGTAACGACATTTTAATATTAATATATCAAATCTAAGCTAATGTTTTATTTCATTTTTTTAAAGGCCTTCCTTCATTTAAATATCAAATAAAAGTATTATTTTATTGATATATATATATTGTATTTAAATGTATTGATATATAATATATATATCAAATGTAGGCAGGCACCTAGTAGTATTTAAACTTGACATAAAAATCTCAAATAAAATAATTAAATATAGAAAACATTTTCTTATGTCCCTCAATATCAAAGACATGCTTATGACATGTTTAATTTAGATATTAATTAAAAAGTTACGACATTTTAATTTCATATATCTCCTTGAATTTATTACTAACCTTTCTTTATTAAAGTACCGCAAAATATTTTTTAAATACATATTGCATTTAAATTCAGCTTAGCCAGTTGAGACTGGCGTTCTGCATTTGTAATGACATCCTTGAACCGCCAATTGCATTTTGGAGGCTGCCAATTCGATTTGACCCGTGACTGGTTTCGGTCAGAATTGCAATTGCCGCTGGAGCGTATCATTGTTAACTTGGCCAAATTATATCAGCTGTTTTGGCCGTTTTGGGTACTGTGTGTGTTCAAATTGCTGCCTCAATTTCACCGCCGGCCTTTCGAAAATGAAATTTGCAAACGGTGCAAGCAAAAATGAAATGTTCGCTGAATTTTCTCGTTGCGAAATGGCATAAATGAATGACAAACAAAGTGCGAATTTATCACGTGTAAAGGGTTTTAGTTCTGTTTGATTTGGCGCTTCTTTTTGAGCTGTATATTTGAAAACAGGTAGAAAAAAGTAACAAATAAATTTAAACCGACACAAAATTTTTTGTGTTTTTTTTAGCTGTATATTTGTTGAATGTATATAATAGTAAAAAATTTTTTAGAAATGGAAAATTAATATAAAATAAAAATACAGTGTTATTTTTTATATATAACATTATATTTGTAATCAAAGATATTAAATATGGAAAATATAGCAATCTAAATAATATTTATTTTATTTATTTACGGTAAGCCTTTTTAGTAATTTCCTGTAGAAGTGCTCTACAAAAAATCCCAGAGTAGCCAGCAAATTGCCTCCGATCACCACATAGAAGGCCAACTGAAGATCTCCAATGGTAAGGACCCTCACAAGCTCAGATTCGGCATTTGCCTCAAGGATACTCAGCCGCATCTTAATGTCCACCCTGGATTTCTCATCCGTAATCCATTTCACAATGAGTCCAACACTCAGAAACCTCAAAAGTAGGCCATTCACAGCATCCTCCCAGGGAGAGTCTCGCGGCATTACATACGAGATGGTATAGTACTTGGGACACTCGGGAACCACCCAAATCTGGTGAAGCAGTGTGAATCGCGAAGACTCCAAGATCAAGGAGGTATATCTGGAGACTCCGGCCTTGTCCCTATCTGTGGCCACCTCTTCGATGACATCCGCTTGTAGATCTCGATTCCAGGTGAGTTTATTATTAAGACTCGCGAATAACGGTGAGGTTTCGCTAAAGAACAGATCATCCGCCATGGAGGAGTATTTGTAGACCACCTTCAAACCGCTATCATCCAACTCCTGCATTGTATTTATATCCTTGTAGTACAGTGGATGTATGTAGACCGTGGCCAAACTGGACTCAAAAATGGCGCCGAAAATCACACTCACCAGGCAGAGAGTTCCGATAAACATCCTTTCAGCATAGCTGGTTGGCAAGTGGTTCAGATTTAGACGAACCCAAACCACCCAAGTATCCACCACTATGCCCAATGCCTGTGCCAAAAGATGCTTATTCTTCAAAATCACAATCCTCAGCTTCAGGTTAATAATCCTCAGTGTTAACCAAATCAGGGCACAAACAAAGGCGCTTAGAATGAAACCCAACCAAATGTCATAACCAACTGCGAAAATGGGCAGGATCGATTGGGGTATACGACTCGCTTTCGGGACATAAATGCACAACTCATCATCGTAGACGGCCACTGTGAAGTCCATGTACTGCTGCACCAGGTAATCCTTGACGAAGAAACCCGTCAGACAAATGTCCAGGCCATCATTGATGATCGATCCTATGGCACCATTATAGCTGCCATTTGCAGAGCGCTCTCTGTTGAGAAACAAATGGGTGTGGGTTAAGTTGCGAGCCTCACTATGAACTATTATGAAAATCATACTAAAACATATTTGATTCTTATTTAAAGACTTATGAAATGTATTATCAACATATAACATAAATTATAATAGCCTTATATTATTATATTCTTGACTATAACGGAGACTTTTGTGCTAACCGATACTTAACAAAGTGTTCCCAAACAAGTACGGTGGAAACCCTTCTTTTGGAACACTGTCGTCGATGACAATTGGTTTTATCGGTGCTCCAGTTGACAAACGCCACATTACGGAATTAATTTATTCTTGACTGATTTACGAAATTTACGGAATTACGAAAAACCAACCATGAGCCCTTTGCAGAGAGAAGCTTCTTCAGAGAGCAGAGATAACTCGACCAATGGCGGGACCCCTTCCCGTAATCTTGCGAATATCGAGTGGAACGAACCGAACAACGACCCAAGAGGAGTTTCTTCAGGACACGTTCATATCCCGACCGATGGCGGGATCATTTCCCGCTATACCTCTTATGGAGGGGATACTGACTCCCCTTCTCGCAATTATGCGATTCTCCATCGTGGTGAGTCCGAACCCCCTTCTCGCAGTTATGTAGTTTCTAATAGTAATTCTTCAGGAAACCGCGACGGCTCCTCCGGAGGGGGGACTGATCCCCCTTCTCGAAATTATGCGGTGCTCCATAGGACACCACCGCGAAGAAACGCTGAGAGAGGAGTTTCTTCAGGAAACCGCTATACCTCTTATGGCGGGGATACTGACTCCCCTTCTCTCAATTACGCTATTTTTCCATGGCGGAACAACGCTCAGAGACGAGTTTCTTCAGGAAACCGCGATAGCTCCTTTGGTGGTGAGTCCAAATCCCCTTCTCGCAATTATGCAGTTTCTAATAGTAATTCTTCAGGAAACCGCGATAGCTCTTCCGGAGGGGGGACTGACCCCCCTTCTCGAAATTATGCGGTGCTCCATAGGACACCACCGAGGAACAACGCTCAGAAAGAAGTTTCTTCAGGAAACCGCGATAGCTCTTATGGAGGGGATACTGACTCCCCTTCTCGCAATTACGCGATTTACCCTAGGACCCCCGAAGGACCCCAAGAACTGGAAAAGGCCAAGCGCAGGAAGAAATTAACCATCTAAAGTGTACCGCTTCATTTATGTCTGCAAGACAACCAAATAAACCATACGTGCGCATTTTGGTTCCTCTTTACCAGCATTATTTTAACATTTATAAAGAGAAACTTACTCTTGCAAGAACAGTAAATTATAATTAATGGAGTCACAAACATCTCGGTGTTCCCTGAATCCTCTTAAAGTTTATAAAGTCAAACCAGCTTCATCATATAAAAAGTAGTCAGATTTCGGTGAATGTTATGTAAATATGTGGTAATTAAGGGGGTAGCTCAGTTTTATTTTTAGGATTCAGATTTTGGTCAAAAATACTTATTTTTTAGTGGTTTTTCAGTCGTAGTTTAGCCAAATCAAGGCGTACAGATAAAAGACCGACAGTTTTGAGCAGCTTGCTTCAATTGCTATCAATCCCCTGCACTTTAAGGAAGATTTATTTTTTGACACATTTTTTCATTTTTTTGTAAGGGGGCAGCTCGTTTGTTTTTTGGATTCAGATTTTGGTCAAAAATACTTACATATACATATTTAACAAGCTTTTCAAAACATTCTGTCTTTTAGGTATACGCCTTGATTTGGCTAAACTACGATTAAAAAACCGGAAAGAAAAGTCGCATTTTAGAAAAATTTGATTCTCGTGCTTTTGACAAAAATCCGAAGCCCACTTTTTCGCCCCAAAAATTCCGTATTTTGACTGCCATGATAAAAATAAAAGTCAGAATGAGGAGTCACATCTTAAGTTAAAATCTAGATTCTAATATTCCTCCCAAAGACAAATGAGAAATGCCATACCTCGTTAAGCTCGTTTTTTAATATTTAGTTTATAGGCATTCGAATTAAATTAAACTTTCCACTTTTGCCATTTCCCGCAACAAGGAATTGGAATTATGGAATCCAAACTCTTTAGCTCTTATAATTTCCGAAATCACACCGTTCACATGAACAGCCAGACGGACATACTTATAATTTCTTGTGTTTTTAATAACTTTGTTATTGCTTTTTTCAAAATTATGTTGAAACCAAATTCAATGAAAAACTCACCCAAAGTAGTTCCTATCGGGCTGCTGAAGCAGCATGGTGAAATTCAGCCGCTCCCTGAGCATTTGGGCCACCAGGAAGTCCACTCCAGTGACACTGGTCAGCAAACCCGTATCTCTATCGAATTCCGGACGTGTGTACACGGACCTGAACATCTGGATCCGCATGGGATAGCCAGCCATATCATGGAAAATCAGTTTATCCAGGGGCTCCGAGCCAAAATAACGCACTAATCGCCCAAAGGCGGAATCGCGACGCTTGAAAGGATCATAGATCCAAATACCATGGGCGGTTAGAAAATAACGATTGTAGATTTTGTTCAGCATCCACAATTGCCGACAGCTAACCTCCAAACTAAGTTGTTCCTCAAGGGTTAAGTCCTCAATTTGATCTGCGAGGATATAGAAAAAAACACCGGCTTTCTGATTGGGTGCTGCTGCTCCGCGATTGGTTATAAGTTGGCCCAAGCTCATCACCATCACTATATTATTCCGGCCAAAAGGATCGGCCATCCAATCCTCATTTTCCTCATATGTAACGATGCTCAAGGGTATTCTCTCTTGATGCAGGAACCACTGGACATAGGGATTCTCCACATCCGCATGCGTTTTACTCGCCCGCAGCCAAAGTTCCAGTTGGGGCAAATCACTGGTGGGCCCCATCAGTAGTCCATCTAGTTGGGTGAAGTTCTGGGATTTTTCCAGCATGAAAAGCAGGAAAAGCGAACTAAGCACCGCCATTCGTCGGGGTTTGGTTTGTACAAATGACTCGAGAAGTTGGTCGCAAGTATCCCAAGCAGTCCCATTCTATCCTATCGTATCAAGAACTTCCCAAGCCAATTTCTGTTTTGACACCTGCAATTTTGTTTGTTTGCTCGCGCACAATTAGAGAGTCGTTATGTCAGGTGTTGGGTTCGTCCAGCTCCTAAGCAAACATAATTATTATACCCTGCAATTTGGGGTGGCTAGCAGGGGTTCTCTTCCCCAGAGAAACCATTTAGGATCACATAAGTTCTTTAAAGACACACATGCACATGATTTAGGAACTACATTTTCAATTAGGTGAACGAATTTTTCTTTTAATTCAAAAAATCTAAAGACAATCTTCGCTAATGTTCAATATTTTAAATGTTTTTGTTCTTTGGTATCTTTTACCCCTATTAAATTTTCATTTCGTATAGAGACACCATTGTATGCTCTGTTCTCATTGTTGTGCTTTTTCATTCGTTGTCAAATCAAATAGACTCGACTGAACGCGGAAATCCAAGGAAAGACCAAGGGAAACTCGATGGCGATTTTCCCCCAACGAGCTTTTCCGCTGGTCAAGCTCAGCGACGCAACAGAAACACAGTGGTGTTATATCAATAATAATGTTTTAAGAATAGGTCTTATTTACCGCTGATTTAAATACTTCAATATATCTTAAAGTATTTTCTTAACTCCGCGATTATGTTTTCAAATCATTAAATCTTGTATTTATAGGGAAAGGTTCTAAAACAGTGGTCGGCACATAATACCATGAAATTTTGCTTTTTATCGGTGTTGTACACCGTACGTGTGGCGGCACCGTACGCTGTAAACTGTATTTGAACAAAAAATAGAACACAATACAGTTCTTAGAACTGGTTAACTATAAACCACTGTGATCCTGTTTTATTCTGCGCCCGCCAAAAAAAGTTTCGGGCTTAGCTCACCGTTTCCTTATTCGAATTCAGGTCCCCATCCGCCATATATATTTATATTCATACTATATATACGTATCTACGGACACCGAGTGCCCGTTGTCCGATAACCGCTGCCAAGTGCAGCAACAAGAACCATCAATAAACTTCGCCTTGTGTAGTTTTGAAAATGAAAAATAAATTGGAAAATTGAAAAAGCAATTCATCGCATTAGGAACGTGCAGTGAATGAAGGAGAGATGCGGATGCGGATGCGGATGCGAATGCGAATGCGGAAGGCGGATGTTTTGATACCGTTTCCCCCGTCGACGACGAAACCGAAACCCCATTGACAATGCGAGTTTTTATCGTCTTTGTGCCAGGTGCGTCGACTAGACAATGGGCAATTCGAGTCGAGACGAGACGAGGCGAGACGAGTCCTTGTCCAGGACTTCATCTCACGTTCCGCATCCTGAGGACCTGTGTACTTTCAGCATTGCTAATTTCCCGTTAAATGTGGCGATTCACGGGGGTCAGGAACAGGAAACTGTCCGAATTGGCAGGACTTTTATATTTTCATGTTTGTTTTTAACAATAGCGGAATAAGTAGAAAGAATATTATGGGGAAATCCCCTATATAAACAATAATATATCTAAATCTTACAAAAAATTTGAATAAAATGTATGTATTTTTTTATAAGACTTTTTTAATATATCCACTCCTTTATGTAGTTTTTAAATTTTATTGTTTAGCATATATTTTTGCAATAAAATGTTTAAACGAACACTTAGTTATGAAGCATTACTATACCCTTTCAAAGGTTTTAAATGCAATTACAGCCTTTTACGATCTAAATGTCGATCTATTCCTGAGCGACATCCATTGTTGGTAATGCTGTCCGCTGCAGTTCCCCCATTTTCTCTATCATCTCCTTCCAGCCTTCATCTCGTCCGTTTCCCTCCTCATTTGTGAAATTCTTGGACCGCGTACTGCATTCAACACAAACGAGCTGAGCTTTTATGGCGGGGCGATAAAATCAAATTGAAGTTCTTTTCCAACACTTTACAAAGGAGTGAGAGGGAGGGCGAGGCACGGAAAGAAAGAAAGAGAGAGGTGAAATGGGTGCAACGTTTCACTCATTTATTATTATGACGAGCAGTGATGGGAAGTACCTAAATCGTTTATACGAAAATATTACAAAACAAATGTAGTAAATAATTAAAAAAGATAATACTACCTTTCAATTTTTTTGTCTTTATAGAAATAATTATTTAGAAATTTTTTTTATAGATAATAATACTTTATATAATTATTTTTCTTTAAATATTAGTTGTACCCATTTAGATAATTACTAATAAATAAAAACAAAAAAGTATATTTTGCAGAACTATGCACTTTAATTTGACTTTCAATATTAGTTGTACCCAATTAGGTACTAACTTATAAAAAAATAAATTATATTTTGCAGAACTATACCCTTTAATTGGAGTTTACATTTTAGTTGTACCTATTTAGGTACTAACAATAATAGTATACTAATATTCAGATCCTGCAATTAATTGAACTTCACATTTTAGCTGAACCCATGTAGGTACTATGAAATAAAGTTTATTACCTGTAGGTACGAATGAAGTACCTTTCACCGCACTGATGACGTTGAGGCCATTGTGTGCACTTGAGTGAGTGAGTGAGTGCGCGGATAAGAGCGAGACGTGCGTAGGTAAGAAGCAGTAAAAAGTTGGAAAGTGCGGGGAAAAACCGGAGGAAAACTGCAGCGGAGAGGCGATGAAATCATTTGTAACCTGGCACGTGAAAATGAAATTTTTGAGCGAGCATCAGCTTGAAATTCGATTGGCCATTGTGGCGAAATGCGTTTTATACTTTCGTTTTTACATTCGCTTTATTTGCTACCGGCATTCACCCTTAATGTTCTACCATTCAAAAATATGTCCCATAAGTAACAACGACTTGGAGATACCTTTAAATGTCATACGATTTTTTAAAGAAGTTTAATTTTTACAAGTCTATAGAAAAGCATAAAACAATATTTTGAATATCGAAATGAAAATATTAAACAATTGTATTAATTGTATACATTTTAATATGAAAATCATTTCATATATCCTAGCCATATTTTCAATAATACATTTTTATAACCAGGCAGATTCTTTTTTTTTTTGGGTGGACCCACTGCATTTAGCCACAATCTCTTGCCCCAACCCTCTTAAGGTCATTACTTCCATTGCATTTGCTGCTTTTGGCAACGCAAATTGTTCGCAAGCCAAAAAGAAAGGAACATAACGTAAAAACGGGGGAAGCAAAGTGCAATCATGTCGGATCAAATGAACTGAACTTAACCAAGTCGGAATGGTGCATTGCCTTGGATTGGCCCAATTTCGATGGGATTACCTTGGGCCAACATCCTCGAGTCTGTCCAAGCGTTAAATGCAGAATAAATGTTTTCAAAATGGCCTTTAAGTATACTTTTGTGTAAGAAGTTATTTTATTTCTTCGTAAAATCGATTCCATGGTGGGACCCCGTCCGGAAAAACCCGGAAAAGCAATGATGTTGAGATAGAATTTAGTTCAAACTCACTGATGGATCACTTTAAGCGCTTGCTCACTACTTTTTGGGCTGGAAATGGTTCAGTGATATCTACACATCCACATACCGGAGTACCGGACTAGTCGAGCACTAGCCACATCCCTTTTTTTGTAACTATATTATTGTATTATTCTAAGCGCATTACTAAATTTTTAAATAGTGTTAAGAAATATTACGAAAATCTTTTTCGTTTATTTGCACTGGAAAATAAAACCAGGCAACAAAAAACTGAAAACTATTGGGAGGGAAGGCTAAAAACCTATGTTACAAAATCTGTAGAGCTTTTAATGTGTTCCTAGGTAAATTTGCCTAGTTGTGAAGCTAGTTTTATAAACTTTGAGGGTAAACCCCCTCCGAACACCGATATGTTTTTGACTTCATTTATAATAATTCACTATTTTTGCAAGATTTCGTTACCCTTTATAAATGTAAATATAATGCTGGTAAAAGAGGGGATCTAAATGCGCATTTATGGTTTATTTGGTTTTCTTGAAGCGAGAAAATTTAGATGGTTTGCTTCTTGCGCATCGAATTTTTGAGAATTCTCGCCGACGACTTGGTTTTCTCCAGTCCTTGGGGTCCTTCGGGATCCACCTCACGCTTCCTGGGGATGGTTACGAATAAGCTTTTCTGCATTTAACGGCGCGGCAACCAGAAGTCCGACGAAAAGCGAGACCTATTACGCTTGAAGGACCGTTTTGGAGCCCTCATCGATTCCTCGGGATAAGGCATTTCGCTCTCTGAGTCTGAGCTACTTTCAACTAAAGGACGTTTACGTTTGAAAGTGCGTCGCACGCCACTCGTCTGGACGCGGTTCCGCACTGGTGTCCTAGAGTGTCTCTCAGCGTTACTCTGCGGTGGTGTCCTAGGGAGCACCGCATAATTGCGTGGAGGGGGGTCAGTCCCCCCTCCGGAAGAGCTATCGCGGTTTCCTGAAGAATTACTATTAGAAACTGCATAATTGCGAGAAGGGGATTTGGACTCACCACCAAAGGAGCTATCGCGGTTTCCTGATGAAACTCGTCTCTGAGGGTTATTCCACGGAAAAATATCGTAATTGCGTGAAGGGGGGTCAGTCCCCCCTCCGGAAGATCTATCGCGGTTTCCTGAAGAAACTTGTCCGTGGGTGTTGTTTTTCAGTAGTGCAAAGTAACCGCGATCTAAAGAAACTCCTCTCTGAGCGTTATTTCCCCTTTGTGTCCTCTCGGTAACTCGATTATTGCGAAAAGGGGGATCGTTATCCGTTAGAGTCGACCCGATGTCTACATAATAACGGGAAATGATCCCGCCATCGGTCGGGATATGAACGTGTCCTGAAGAAACTCCTCTTGGGTCGTTGTTCGGTTCGTTCCACTCGATATTCGCAAGATTACGGGAAGGGGTCCCGCCATTGGTCGAGTTATCTCTGTTTTCAGAAGAAACTTCTTTCTGCGAAGGGTGCATGGTTGGTTTTCCGTAATTCCGTAAATTTCGTATATCAGTCAAGAATAAATTACTTCCGTAATGTGGCGTTTGTCAACTGGAGCACCGATAAAATCAATTGTTATTGACGACAGTGTTCCAAAAGAAGGGTTTCTACCGTACATGTTTGGGAATACTTTGTGAAATATCGGTAAGCACAAAAATCTACGTCATATTCAAGAATATAGTTTTATAAGGATATTATAACTTATGTTATTTGTTGATATGTACTATCATATGGTTTAAAATAAAAACTCCATGATTTTCGTAATATTTCTTAACTTTATTTAAAAATTTAATAATACGCTTAGAGTAATACTAGATATAGTCAACAAGAAAAAAAAATTGGTGTGGCTAATGCTGGACTAGTCAGTGATGCGTCTTCCTACTCTCCGGTACTCCGGTATATGTATATTCGCCGGCTGATACGATGCTTCCAGTGATATGTATCACTGTTCCATGGCCAAGCCGAAAGTGGTGCGCATGCGCTCGAGGGCGTCGGCGGGGAATCCCCGTTCGAGGAGCTGCCGCTCCGCCTGCGCAATCACATCCCGCATCGTGTCCAACATTACGGCGCTCTTCTTCAGCTGACCGCTGACGAACTTGTGCCGGAAGCGCAGCTTGGCCTTCTTGATCTTGTTGTTGTATCGGGACTTGCGGCAGGACTCGGCCCGCTGACGTTGGGCATCCTTCATGTCCGATCCGGAACCTGATCCAGAACCCGATCCCTGTTCCATGGCCAACTCTGTTTTCAACGGTGGCGGTGCTCGGCGTTCCACAACAATGGGATTCTCCAGCAGCATCTGGTCCACGTAGCGCTGCTCCTCGTCGGCGTAGTGCATCTTGAGATGGTGCAACTGCTGGGACACCAGCTCCTCGATCTGTTCTGGCCTCGATGACGATGCAGAGGATGATGATGACAATGCGGGTGAGCTGCTTCCGTGATACGGGGCGTATACGTGACCCATGGCCGCGTAGCTCAGAGTGGGCAAATAAAGATGGCTCCGTTCCATGGCGATATGCTGATTTGCAGTGGTGGGTGTGTGTGTCTGCTCTCGACGAACTTTCGATTGCTAATGCTGCCATAGCCGTTCTGCAGCCCAAATTTATACCATCCCACAGGTAGCCTCCATTATTGGGTGGTGGTGGGTTATTCGCGGGGTCTTCTACCTTCATGAATGGTCAGTGGGTTTTATGATCTTGTTTGTGTCCATTTCCAGGGGCACCGCCTACCTGCTACCGGATTGGTCGACGGATCGCAGACATGTAAACAAAGGGATTAGGGGAAATATGAGAGTATACCCCTTGATCTATGTACCTGATTATGGGATAAAGTTTAACAACAAACATCAAGTGTGGCCAAAATGATTCACTCGGCAATCTCTGGGTACGTTTTTGGGGTTCTCCCGGGTCTGGTTCAATAGGTAAAACACCCTAAATGTAAATATATCAGTCGCAGGTTTTATTTTTAAGTACACTGCCTTAGTTGTGAATGTTACCTATTTAAAAAGGAATTTTTATCAAGCAGCTTTATACATATCTTTTCGGTAAGGTTATCTTAAATTTATTTAATGTGTTAATAGATATTTTATTCCTTTTCTCGTTTGATTGGACCAACTTAAATATCTTTAATTCTAGTAAATACATACAAAGGTAAAGATGATTTAAATTATCTAATTTTTTCAACGAACGGTAGATTTCTAGGTGTTTACGCTTCAGTAAAATATTTTAGTATAAATGATTCGAATAAACAATATATAAAAGACAATGAATATATACAATTTAATCTAAGCCACAGGTTTAAATAATTGTTTGTAGTTTGACTGCCAATACTATAAATAGTTCTCATATAAAATGAACTAAAAATCCTTCAATGCTTACTTTGTATATATTTTTTAGATCGAAATCAAACGGATTTTATCTCTTTTGAAATTTGGTTAATTTTACAATTAATACTTAATGTAATTTTACAATTAATGAAGATCTCATAATTAAAACAGAGCTCGCATGAACTGTTTAAAATAAAACAAGGAAGAACGCTATAGTCGAGTACCTCGACTATCAGATACCCGTTACTCAGCTAAATAGAGATATGCAAGTAGCAAAGCGAGATTAAAATGCGCCACCTACCGGCGGTATACAGATTTAAGCGTTATGGGCGTTAGAGTGGGCGTGTCAAATTTTTTTTTGGATCAATCGATAGGTAATGACAAGATGAATACATTTCAGTTAAAATTTTTTATCTAGCATAAAAATTGTGGGCGTCACAGGTTTTCGCGGTTTGTGGGCGTTAAAGTGGGCGTGGCAATCGATATGTATTGATGAGAACATTACATTTCAGTTAAAATTTTTATTCTAGCATCAAAACTGTATGAGCCACAGTTTTGGGCGGTTTGTGGGAGTAAGAGTGGGCGTGGCACATTGCTGAAACAAACTTGCGCTGCGTAAGAAGCTCAGGAATCTGCACGCCAAATCTCAATAGCCTAGCTCCCATAGTTTCCGAGGTCTCAGCGTTCATCCGGACAGACAGACGGACAGACAGACGGACATGGCTAGATCGACTCGGCTAGTGATCCTGATCAAGAATATATATACTTTATTGGGTCGGAAACGCTTCCTTCTGCCTGTTACATACTTTCCGACGAATCTAGTATACCCTTTTACTCTATGAGTAACGGGTATAAATATACTATTTTAATAAATTCGAGCCATATCTTCTAAGAAAATCGACAACGAATGTAAATAGACTTCAATTCTGCCCATCAGGGGGCCTGAAATCCACAATGACCCCAAGTTCAAGATGGGCTGCTCTTTTATCGCCGCCTTCTCGCTGATTTGTCTTATCTAATCGGGGAAATGTCAACAAATGTTGGGCATTGTGGAAAAATCAACCTGCTCAAGTAAATATAGATTTAAACATATGTAAGCCAGTCAAACCAGGGATCAGCTGGCGTTATGTGATAAGAGGCAATGGTTTGGCTTTCTACCTGCAGTAGTTGTTATTTGCCCACTCGGGTTTAACCCAAAGATGCGCGGGGTTACCAATCAGGTAGTCATTTTGAGGCAGGACGACGAACAAGTCACGGCTTGTTAAAGGCACGGGATTAACCAACGAATCCCATCGCAGCTAGTGTACTTATTAATTTAACAGCCCTAAAAACAACAAAAGGTTCAGCGACCTGCCTAAAAGGTGTTAAGGGTTAAACCGACTATATTGTTCAAAATACATTTGAAGATATGTATCAAAATTAGATAGATTAGATCGAAGATCATTTCCCTATCCGTAGTCTTTTTTTTATAATAAAGATTATGAATGTAGAGCTCACTTTTTAAAGAAAACAGAGCAATACAACGGTTTGTAAAAAGTTATTTCCCATTTAAGTACCCAATTCGGTTTTCATTTCCACCCCACATGTGCCACTCGAATTACATAAATCGCTTAAATAACTCCATTGCGTAATTGGCAAAACAATTGAGTATTTTTAGTGGCCGAAAGCAGTTTTAATTCGAAATCTCTCTTTTAGCCAGATGGGGGCAAGCTGTCAGCGACAGACGGACAATAATTTTCCATTTTTCCCATTTTCCATTTACCATTATCCATTTACCATGTGAACAATAAAATCGACAGCGCTGCGTTTGGGGTGGCAAATGAGAAAATATGCAGACAAGTATAATTAAAAAGCCATTTATAATCATTTTCGACCAAATCCCAGTTGACCGTCCTCCACTATTGCCCCCAAAACCCCGCAGGAACACTTGAAGCCTGACAATTTTCCAGCTCGAGGAGAGTGAAATAAAATAGAACGAGTAAGAAATGTCGATCTCAGGAATACCCTTAAAATGCCATACCAACATACCATAACATATTCTATGAGACGAATATTTATAAATAAAAAATAACAAAATATATCTAAATATTAAAATAAAATATATGAATATCCCACTTCTCTTATTTCGAACTCTAATATAAAATCATAATACCCACAGCAAGCGCATTGCAAATCGAGGAGCGAACGACCATAAATACACGCACATGAAGGAGACTTCGCCGCATCCCACGTTCCCAAACGACATTGAGTTTGAATTATGTCAGCGCAGCAATAAATTGTCCAAGGCATTAAATTAAAATCTATGTATAGTAGATATCGTTTAAAGGAATACTGCGAAAAGAAAGCATATAAATTTCAATTGTTTATTTCTCTATTTTAAAAGGCAATAAGGACCTCCATCTATTTTTATGGCTCAAATAATTCCTATAAACATATTTTTGTTCGACTTCTTTGTTTTCTTTGGTTATACCCAAATTTTATCCTTTTTCAATTAATGAACCCAAAAATACTTAAACAAATTAATTTGTAATTTGACTAATAGATTTCATCATATAGTCATATAAGCATAGGCCAAGTCAATCTCTAAACTATAAGATACTAAGAAAGAATAAAAAGTCAGCGCTTTTGAATATTTTTGTGCACCAAGTTCTTGAAATTCTCGCTAAACCAGAGCACCCTTTCGAATTTGTCTAAGCAAGTAGACTGTATAATCTGTATCTTGAGAGTTTTCATAATATACAGTTTATTAGCAGGAATAAACCACAACTTGTTGTACATATGTTCTATTTTCCTATTAATTCTAATAAAAAAATGTAAGGTACGCCTTTATATAAATACACCTAAGCAACAAGCCTGTTAACTATTATCTGATGAACTTTCAAAGACCTGAATCTTACGGATGAGACCTCTATGTTTTGGGAGCCTTGTCATTTACAAAATTGTTTTATTGCTGTGGCTTTACAAATGATTTGCTTAATTTTAAATATATTTGTTAGGCTTGTATTAAAATGTATTTACACACTATGGAGAAACAAGATGGAATCTAGAATGGAACCTACTAAACTACGTTATGTGTGAGCATGATTTATATCATGTAGAGGATCATGTTTGGCATCTATCCGGAGCAGCCGCGACAACCGCAGTGGACGCACTCGACGATGCGACCCTCCTCCAGCTTGGATTTGGGCACACGGCAGATGCAGTTCGTTCCGAAGTTGGTGTCCCTCGTTTGGATGCAGCGCAGGCAGCAGAGGTTCTCGTATCCGGACTTCTTCCACTTGGCAATCAGGTTGCCATCGGCGATCTTCTCCTTTAGGCAATAGTCGTACAGTTCCCGGCTGATGGCCTTTCGGCGATAGAATAGATCGTATATATAGCGCGTCTTCTGGTGGTGAATCTTGAAAATGGGCCACAATGATTCCGTAATGCGCTTACCCTCATGCGGTTCCGTTTCGGCTGTTCGAAAAGTATTTAAATTAAAGATCTGTTCGTGTTTGTCCCTAAAAGAAGCCACGCTTGTCTCACCCTCCCGCATTTTTTGCTCCAGTTCCTCCAGAGTGGGTTCTATCAGCTCCCAGCCATCTGGCGGGGGCTTACGACTGCGGCGCACCTTGGGCATCACGAATACTTCAAATAATCAATTTAAAATTCCTTAAATTCTCTTGTAAAAGTCTAAATTACTAAAGATTGGAAATTGCAAAATAGAACTGTAGTCGATAAGATATGTCGGCTCTATCGTTAATCGATACCAAGCGAACAGCTGTGACTACTAGTTGGGGTCGTCAATTTAGCTATTTTCTCTCTAGATCTAGCTGTTTCCATTGACATATGCGGGGATTACCTGTAAAATAACAGCTGACGGGAAATTTAAATGTTTCTTAAACAAATGTGAAACTTCTAAAGTTCAACTGCAGAAACCATGTTTAAAAAACTGGAAACGCTTAAGAACTGCTTAATTAAATCAATTGAAATGTGTAACTGCACTTGCGTTTTGTTAGCTAGCATTCAAATTTGTCTGGCTATTTCTAGCTATTTTTAGAGGTCAACATCGTTTATGGCAACACTGTTACTAGTGTTGGCTAGCATCCCAGCACATTGCTGCTATCGAGTATCAAATATCGGACATCGATAGCGCTTAATTGTTTTTGTTGTTTTCCTGGAGACGCGTGTGTGTGTTTTGCCCGTGATAATTTATTTATTTTCCCGTTCCGTTTGTTTATGCACTATAATTTAAGTTAAGTTTTTTAGCACAGTCGCAGGAGTAAGTAAATTTTTGCAAGCAAAAATATATCAAATTAAATAATAGAAGTGAGTGCGCATAATTGCAGTGTTTGTGTCCGTGAGTGTGTGCGTGTGAGTGTGTAACACTTAATGATTGTTTAAAAACGCAAGACTTTCATTCATAAAAAGCAACAACAAAAGGGGGCGGTGCAAGAAGAGGCGAAGGAGACACCAACAACAACACAGTGGCCTTCGCCTATTAGTAGCTCCCTCTCGCTCGCACACACACACTCGCGCAATCAGCGCCCACATAACGGACCTACGTTTTGGTTTTACTTTTCAGTTTTGTTACTTGTTTTTTATGTTTTTCTTTTTTTTTATGTGCAATTCTCCCCTAATTCTGTGCTTTATGGCGAGTGCTTGGCACAGCAAATAACCAAATAAACTAAACTATTAAATCACCCACACAATTGCAATTGCATATCCACCCCCCAATTCGCAGTGGGCGTCTATGAGTGTGTGTGTCTGTATGTGTAATGAGCGCAACAAATCAGTTTTGTTTTGTTTTTTCGTTTTGCACATTCCACATCGTTTTTTCTGTCCCCCATACATTCATACATACATATATGCAATAACAGTCACTGCCAAATAAACAATATTCCCACGTATGACCCATTGTTTATCTAAAGAGAAGCCTAAAGACTTTCACACACTTATCGATAAGATAAAATGGCAAGAAAATGCAATGGCTCATAGGCCTTTCTCAGTCGCCAAAATGCAACAGCTGCAGCTAAAATAATAGTTTTGCAGCTCAGCTGGCTTTTTTCCCAGTGAATTTTTAAATTTTTCAATGGTCAACTTATTTGGCATTCCCAATTGGCCTTAAATATCTTATTGGAGTAGACCTCAGCTGGCTTTTGTCACAGAAATTTTTATTATTAATAAGTATTTATAAATATATAATGCTACTGTAAGGAGTTACATGGTATATTATAAATCATTTTATATATTTAAATTTGCTTTTAAATGTTAAACATTTTCATCATCCTTAGTCATTCCAAAATGGTTTTCTTACAGTCAGCTTGAATAACCTTTTTTTGCCTAACCTTTACCTATAATAAATTGTTTAATTTTTATTTAATTTGTTCTTAATGCTCATTTGTTTGGTTTCTCCTGGGTTGACTATTATCTTTGCCATCACTGTATCTGCATAACAAATAGCGGTTAATTGAGGCGCAAATATTTGTTGTTGTCTCCCCTGGCGAGTGAGCGGGACAGAGAACCGAGTGACAGGGCATTGCCTTTCGTAATTGACGTCTGTGCCCTTGACCAAGGCCTAAAAACAAAAACAAAAGCCGCGACGCTGAAATCGAAACCGTGATTACAAACAAAACCATTGTTCGCGCAACATTTAAGCCATTTCAACAGCCCAAAGCGAATATCTAATGATTTTTTTAAGTCTTGGCAATGCTCTATCTCTTTCGCACATATAAACAGTGGTGGTCGAAGGTATAGCGAACTACAGTGGTCACTACAAAATGTAAGCTACCAAGAAACGACAGCTTTTAGGCACTGTATATTTCAACCAATATATTAGTAGGACTATTATTGAAAAAAGCATGATTTTTCAATTTTTTCTACACAACAAAAACAAGTTTATACATAATTGAACTTTTCTTTGAAAAAAATTTCTTTTTAAAATCCAAGATAAATCATTTTCAAGAAATTTTTGTTAAATAAAAATAGAACATTCAACAAAGTATCTGTGGAATTCAACAAATTATTTAAAGAAATATAAAACAAATTTATTTGATACATTAAAAAAAAATTGGCATGTAATATTAAATAAAAAATCTGATTTAATACTTTTTAAACATATTTCCACTGTATTGGAGAGATCACAATTAGAGCTGGGCGCGTGATACGCTTTCCCATGCGATCTCAGACGTCACAGGTGTAACAATGGGAAATAAGGTCAGACCCTAGCTATAGGGACTTTCCGCGAACCGAGTACAAAGATCGGAGTCAGATCGAAATTAACTGATCACGATTTTTTGTACACCCAACTCATCCTTTTAGTGATGATTTTAATCGCATTACACAAAGAGTTTAATGTCATTTATCTTTTAATCTTATTGAATTTTTATTAAAAAAAAAAATTTGTATACCTGATGGTGACAAAATAATTTAAAAACTGAACATTTATACATAATCTTCTATATTTACCAAAATGTTAAAAATATAAAATTATATTCCAAACTAATCGGTTTTTTACATGTTTCTTGTCCTATGTGACAGCTTTCAAGCCATTTAAAAATCGATTTGTTTATAAATCCCCATTGTCATCCATTAAATACGTTAAATATTTATGCTCATCAATTAACTGGCGCTCAGCCATTAAACTAGTTGACGGTTTGGGTCTATTTGAAACCCGAGTAACGAACTGATATCAAATGTCACACATTCCCATAAATAATGCAAAGCAATTGAAATAGCGTCATTGCGCAGTATTCAAGTCAAGGGAAAATGGGAAAAGCGGATGGGAAAAATGATTGCAATTGAGAATACAAATTAAGATGAATTCGCAGGGAAACTGATTGATATAATGAAGACTTCAATCGAAAATAAAAAATTAGCGAGTCAATTGAGGCGGACCAAATGGAATTATCATAAATTATAATTTTATTTCCTATTGCTGCTTCAGATATAAATAATAAATATACATAAATTAACTAATCAAATATTTATAAATTTAAAAGTATCATAAAAGATTAAATGAAAATACAAACAATTAAAATGGAAAAAATTCTGGAACCTTGATACACGATTATTATTATACTTCCGTACGGAAATAATTCCAAGAAAATAAGATAAAAGCAACAATGGAAAATACTACGCATTCATTTAGAGCAGAATATGCTATAGGGTACAAATATTATAGTAATGGGGTAATTTAAATATACATTTTTAAATAATCCTCGATTTTAGAATGTTCATTCTTTTAATAAAATGTGATAATAACCTTTCTTTATGTTTTTTTTTTCAGCCAGCTGCACCGGCTGCACCATGGAGCCCCCAGCTGCTGGCAATCTGCTGGAGATCATGGACCTGGCCCGCACACTTCGCCAGGAGCAGCTCTTCATCCAGCAGGAACAGGCGGCCTTTGCCCAACTCACTGGGGCCTTGGAAACGAATGCAGGGACCATAACCAAGGTGAGTGGTTGGACTTAAGATATCCAATAGATTTTAATAGTCATTAATGAACCTACCTTACCACAGTTGGCCTTTGTGTGTGCCCAGCAACGGCAGATTCTGAATGAGCTGCTTCTAGCACGGACGGATCACGATCCTTTGCTCTCCTGCCGCCGGGCGAGTGCCTACGACAGTGCCCAGTTCATGGACGCCAAGCAGCTGCTGCCCTATGAGGTGAGGATCGGATCGGAATGGAGATCCCTATCCACGGATTAATAAAATCATACTTGCCTATTTCCAGCACGCCTTGGCCTATGAGGATCTGTTCAACTACCTGTATAATACACCCTATTTGTTGGCCCTTTCCCTGGCCACCGCGGATCGCTTATCGCTGCTTTCGGCCAGCCAACTTGGCCAGATTATCAATACCATTGCCACCGGTCTTTATGGCAATGCCATCAATACCAAGGATGTTGAGCTACTGCTTAAATTGCTGCGAGAACTGATTGAAATCCAATTGCTGACCAGCGAACAGCCCAGGCGTCTGCTGCGTACCAATAGCAGCTCCTTTGCACGACTTTATCAGCGTCTGGTGGAGAGCCTGTTCTCGGCGAGGATTTTCCTAACTGCCGCCCTGCATGCGCCGCTGATGGGTGTGCTGAGTGAGCATGAGATTTGGCTGGATTTGGATCCGCACAAGCTAATGCAAAGCTTTACGCCAAAGGAGCGCGAGAAGCGCTTCGGACGGGAGGGCGATGAGGAGTACCAGAGGAATGTGACACGTTTTCATGCGGAAACATTGGGTAAACTGCACTCACATGTCCAGGAGTTTGTGAAGAGCTTGCAACAGAGTTGGGCTCTTTTTCCCAGCTCACTGAGATGGCTACTCCAAACGTTGAGCCAGCAGCTCCGGCAGTCGTTGCGCCACGAGGAGCAGGATATTCGACAGCTGCTCACCGATTTAGTATTCACACACTTTATATCGCCAGCCATTGCCAGCGCTGATCTTCTGGGCATCATTGATGTTAATGTGAGCGAACGGATGCGGCACAATCTGAATCAGATTGTAAGATTGCTCCAACGACTGGCCCTCAACGATGAGGACAGCGAACTGGTGCACCTGATGGATCTGCTTATGCTGGGACAGACTGGCGAGGATGTGGTGGCCATACTGCCGCAACAAAGTGACTTTGAGCGCTCCCAACTGGCCATCAATCAGAGGGAACTGGCGCAGCTTGTGGAGTTCTTTCGTTTGCTCACTGCCAGAGAGGAATACGATATATCCGCCGAGGAGAGAGCCCGTCTCCAGAGGATTCTCAGCAGGATACCCAAGCAGCAGCAGCAGCTGCAACAGCAAATGCCGCTGGATGTGCCGGATTCCCGAGAGAGTCCGGAGAAGAGCAGCAAAAAAAGCAACAAGAGTCTGATGAGCCTGAGCAAGGCCACCAAAAAGCTGGCCAAAGGGATGAGTTTCAGCAGTGGCAGCAGCAGTAGTAACCACAATCCTGTTGTAGTTCCAGTTCCAGAGCTTCTCACCAATGGCCAGGCCAACACTTCGAATGGCAACGGTGGATTGGGCGCCGATCTCGAGCAGTGCTCCTCGCACAGCGGCAGCAACACCAGCTTGAGTTCCTGCGGAGCTAATATTGCGGCCGCCAATGATCCTCTGGATATGTCCGCCTGCTCGGATCCTGTGCTGGTATTTAGCATATATAATGCGGGAGCAAAAAGCAAACTGAAGCCCCTGACGGAGGAGGAAGTCTTGAAGATGAACTGCATCGGTCAGGATGGCAGCAATCTGCTGCCAGCCGTCGTGACCACAGCTCCACTGGCGCCCTCTTCGAACAACGATGATGTGAGCAGTCTGGAGGCCATGCGGAGGCCGCAGGATGACGCTTCGATCGGGAACTCGGATAATTTGGAGGCCATCAGTGAGGCAGCCCATTCGGTGGCCAGTTCGCTGGACCTGGAGGAGCAGCAGGAGCGGGATGTTCATGAAAACGAGGACAACCTATCCGATATGGTCTCGGCGAATGTTTCGGGTCGGGGAACGCCGAATATCAGTGGTCGCGATACACCCTCATCGCAGGTAACCGATGGCGATGGCGCTGGCGGCGATTTGGGCCACCATCATGGCGTTCATGCCCGGGCAGCTGCCAATCCGCAAATGCAAAAGATGCTGCTATCCAAGGCTAGATCCGACATTGAGGATAAGTTCTGTAAATTTGAGCTGAAAAAGTTCGAGGGCGATGAGAATGTGAGCATTATTTCGGACACTTGGTCGACGGATGTGCTGGCCTCAGATTCGGAGAACACTCTGGATGCCACGGTGAGCGAGCGTGGTGACAGGGACAGGAACTTCTCCACACCACTAATACCCTCCGCCGTCGTCCTGCCCGGCGATAATAATTTCGTGGTCGAGGCTTTGGCCAGAGCCGGCAGAGTTCCGGGCGTCCATGGACCACAGTTGGATGCCTCGGATCAACGATCGGAGAGCAATTGGAGCACCGATGTCTTGGCCAGTGATTCGGAGAAGTTGGCCGAAATAGATACGGATGACAATGTTTCCATCACAGCCAAATCGGATACGGCGGCGCCACAGGCAGCCGTCCTGGACGACGACGATGAGGATGAGCAGACGCCGGGCAGCAGTGGCGATGGTGAACCCGATCCAGATCGGGGAAATGGCAGCGAGCGCAGCCAGGAGGATTCGGCTTTCTTTGATGCTGTTAACTCCTATGACGATGCCAATCTCTATCAGGGCGCTTCCTCGTTGGCCAGGAGCTCGGTGCGAACCAGCTACCATGTCCTGGGCGGCGAGAGCAGTTTCCAACAGCAGTACAAATGCAGTGGAGCCGATTCCAGTGGTCGTAAGACCACCCCGCTGATGGGCACCTCCTGCATGCGACGCCAAACATCTGCAGAGAGTAGCATAAGTAATCAAAGCCTGAACCTGGAGGAACCGCCGCCTCCCATGGGCAAGCATCATCACCATCACAGGGAGCACCATCATCGCGACCATCATCATCACCACCGGGAAAGGGAGCGAGAGCGGGAGAGATCAGCGCTCAAGAAAAAGAAACACCAGCAGCAGGAGAAGGAGCATCGCGATCTCATCGATTTCAGCGACTGCAGCGAGGACAAAGAGGAGCTGGCGAGGAATAGGGACGCGGAACAGCCGCCTGGCTTGGTACAACAACTGCTGGACATGTTCAACCAGGACGAACAGGCCGGTGGAGTTCCAAATTCCTCTCTCAATGTGGAACATCGACGCATTTCGATCGAGCAACGCTCAGCCATCATAGATGGTCGGCGGAATGGAATCCTGGCGGGCAGTATGCGGCGCCACCAGAGCTTGAACTACGAGAATCACGAGATTATGTTGAACTCCATGTTGCCCAAAACCGATGATGACAAGCAGGAGATGCTACTCTGTGCGCAAACCCAGCAGCTGCAACTGGAGGAGCGCCGAGGCTCTGGAGTGGAGGCATCTGTGGGAGGAGCAGGAGCAGCTGCAGCAGCGGCAGCTGGAGGTTCGGGCCTGAAGCCACCCACCAAAGCCACCGGAGCCATACCAAAGAGCATTAGTTTCGATGCCAGTGCGGACAAGGAGAAGCAGCCGTATCATCGCGACAGGGAGCGCGATCGCGAAAGGGACAGGGAGCGGGAACGCGATCGAGAAAGAGATCGCGAACGGGATCGCGAGCGGGATCGGGACAGGGATCGAGATCGGGAGCGTGATCACCACGGTGCTGGCATATTCAACAAACTGAAGATGACAAACATCTTCAAGAATCGCCGCGGCACTAGTGCCAAGAGTCCCGGCAACGCCAGCAGTCAGGCCAATCCCGTGGCCGGCACTTCTAGTGCACAGGCGGACATACGCAGCGTTAGCTTCGATCCCAGTGCCGGATGCGTTAATTTCGCCACCCACTATTGTGATACGAGCGAGGACATCCTGGCCAAGTACCGCCGCAAGGTGAGCAGCTCCAGCGAGGCCACCAACTCGGATTCCACAGGGAATGGCCATGGAGGAGGAGGGTCGGCGGCAACCGGCGGAGCAGCCTCTCATCTGCATAAGCACATGAATGGAGGGTGAGTAAATGGGTCATCCATTGTACCATCTTCTAGACTATATATCCTCCTGTTCCTTAGGCAAATCCCTGGCGTGGCATTTGGCAGCGTGAAGCAGAAACTCCGTACGGTGCTCTCGCGGACGGATTTGCACAGCGGCGATTTCCGGCAGACCTCGACCACGAGCACCACAATGGCCACACCGCTACAGATCTACCTGCAGATCCAGCTGGCTCAGTGCATCAGCCTGCAGCGACTACCTCAAATCTCGCACGTGGCCGAGGCCCTGCGTTGTTTGGCTCAACTAGAGCGACCCCAGCATGGCCAGCTGCTGGCCGAACTGCAGCGGGATCTGGAGCGAAGGCAGAGCTACCTGCAGTACCTGATGCGACACAGGCAGCAGCTGCTGCTCCGCACCGAGCAACTGGAGCAGCTGGAGGCACGGTTGCGTGGCGAGGCGCGCAGTAGCCAGAGATGCTTGCTGCAGGCTCTGGTCAGAATGTATTTGGCCTGGGCCCGGCAGCAGGAGAAGCTAGAGAAGTTCCAAACCGAGTTTGGTCAGCTGCGGGCCAGCGATGAGCGCGTCGAGCTCACCGAGGAGTTCGTCGAGTCCCTGCTGCAGGAGCTGCGCTCCAGTGCCGATCTCCAGGACGAGTGGCAGGTGGACGCGGCTCGCGTGGCCATTGAGCGAATGCTGCTGGAGCAGATGTACGAGCAGGTGATGTTCCCCAACGAGGATGCCGATGTTTCACGCGACGAGGTGCTCTCCGCTCACATTGGCAAGCTGCAGCGGTTCGTGCATCCCGCCCATCCGGCACTGTGCATTGCCCAGGAGTACCTGGGCGAAGCTCCGTGGACGTTCGCCCAGCAGCAGCTGTGCCACATGGCCGCCTACAAGACGCCGCGCGAGAAGCTGCAGTGCATCATCAAGTGAGTTAGATATGATAAATGAGTTATATGTTATATATTATATATGAGTTATATAATATAAATATGTATACCCTTTGTTATATATATTATTTATTCCAGCTGCATCTCGAGCATCATGAGCCTGCTGCGGATGTCCAGTGGTCGCGTGCCCGCTGCGGATGATCTGCTGCCCGTGCTCATATACGTAGTGATAATGGTGAGAGTCCTTGGCAATCCAATCCAAGCCGATTAACTAACCAATCTTAACCCGCAGGCCAATCCCCCCTATCTGCTGTCCACCGTGGAGTATATCAGCTGCTTCCTGGGCAAGAAGCTTGAGGGCGAGGACGAGTTCTACTGGACGCTCTTCGGATCCGTGGTGAAGTTCATCAAGACCATGGACTATCTGGACTAGCGGTATTTGTATAGGGCTTAGGTGGCTGTATCTGTAGATTTGTTTAGCGCTTTGTTGTAGGCATTACACCTGTTCCCCCCGCCCCACTTCTCCACTCGATATTTTCTATATTTATATGTAACTATATCTGTGTCTGATATTTGTGTAAAAAAAAGAAACTTGTTAAACCCTAGGCTAAGTCCACAACTGCGGCAGAAGAGACATAATCCAAGTCAAAGCGACCCGAGTACGACGAATCAATGTGAAATGCCAATGCTGAAGAAGATGTCTAGGTTTAGGTTAACATTGAACGCTAGAAGGCCTCGCCTTATGGGTATCCATGATATATATATAGTGAAGTAGAGAACATATTCTTCTATTTATATATACACGTACATAGATATATGCATGTTTATCGGATCGGTCTAGCCACTGTCATAAGTATGTTTCGGAAACGAACTGCAACTTAATATTCCTTATTGTGTAACACAAAATAAAAAACCAATATAATTTCAAATGTGTGGTATTATTATGTATTTATTAAGGGGATAACGATCTATATGATCCTTCGAAAAGGGGAACGGAAATAAGGCCTCGGCTGAAAAATGAAATTAGACCGCGCGGTCTTAATTCATTATGAAAAGTGAAATAAAGCCTCGTTTGAGATTATTTTAAATAGTAATATAGCATCTTCAATATTTCACTTTTTGAAATGAAATAAGACCGCGGAGCCCTTCGAATATCATGTGATATTCGATTATTTTCACTTACCTTTTTGAAATACAACACAGAGAACCAAACAAACTTTTAAACATTTACATTAGCTTTGTATATATTCTTCGGGGTTTCATTCTGTTCATTTCTCGCCCGTCGTTTAATATTACAATTTGACTTTCGTTCGTAAGGTATTCAATAAACAAACCAAAAATTAAGGGATCGATAAACTAAAACAAGTACAACTAAAAACGTTCGACGTAATACTTTGAGTGAGAGATTATTGCACAGTAATTGCATTGCGAGCAACCAAGGGGAAGCTAAGCGAAAATTCGTACTAATACAAGGCCTCAATAAATAAGCGATTAATAAATAACGAAAAATAGTTAATAAGTAATTAAGGTCACCGGACTAAAATTAAACTTTTAACTGTGTGCGCCGTTGCTCGGTTTGAATGTCTTGAGTACAAAGTTGCCGCGTCGCTAAAATCATTTAACGTCTTTGACTAACAAGCGTGAAAGTATCATATATATATATAATATATGTATCCTATAAATCGTAGCAGAAGATCATTAATAGGTAGTGACTAAACATGTACACAGGGGGCCATCGGCAGAAGCTTCTTAGGTTAAAAATTTGATCGGTTTTCGGGGTCTACAGCTCTAGGCCATCAGCAGCTCCTCGTGCAGGCCATCGGCATCCAGGGATTTGTTCGATTTGAACATGAAGTTATTGTCGCTGGAGCCCTGCGACTTCGAACTGGAGGTCATGTTGTACAGATCATCGAGATCCTGACTGCGGCGATAGCTGTGTGGCAAAGGGAATAGTCAATTAGAAGGGTTTATAGTAAACTAGCAGCTAGTTTAGAACCAAACTCACGTGCTAAGTGGCCTGCTGTAGGTGGACATGGCCGGGCTGGCCGGATTGTTGTTGCTGTGATTGCTGTTGCTGTTACTCTCATTGTCGGCATTGTCGTTATAGAGATCGCAATTGTCCAAGTACTCGGAGCGCAGATACGTGTCCAGGTCGTTGTCGCACTCGTCCTCCTGGTCGGCGTAGTCCTGCTCATTGTCCTGATCCTGCTGCGACTCCACCATGCACAGCCACTGTGAGTTGTGGTTGCGGAACTTCTCCAGCTGCAAAAGGAATGATTCCAGTTGTAATATAACAGGTTTGCTTAGCAGCTCCATGTTTTAAAACTAGCTACTCACCTTGATGCGCTTGGCCCACTCGCTGTCACTTATGGCAATAATGTCCAAGCAATAGTCGCACACCTTGCGAATCTCCTCGTTCTTGTCATGCATCAGATCGATTAGATAGGCCGGCGATTCCGTCTCTTTGATCATGTACTCCCTGGTGCTCTCGTGCCGCAGTATCTGCTGGAACACAAAGATGATCTGCAGCACAATCTCGTCATCCTCCTGCTTGGCCTTCAGCAGTTCAATCAGCGATATAACCACTTTGGCGCGACAAAACAGCAGAGCACACAACTCGTCGCAGGCACAGGTGCCCAGGTAAACGATGGTGTCCAGCACAAGATCGTCCATGCGGGAGCAGGGCACCAGCAGCTGGCGGATCCATGGTATCAGCTGGAAGTTCTGCAAGATCTGCGAGTAATCCAAATCGGTCAGGGCCAGGTTACCCAAAATGCCCAGGCACTCCACTATAAATGCCTCGTCATCGCAGATGGTCAGAATGCGCGCCAAATCGCCCACATAGTCGATGAATTGCAGCTGCAGGGATTCGTGCTGCGAGAGATTCCTCAGCAGCTTCATCAACAAGGCATCCTGGTACTTGAAGGCCCGATCCATCAGGCTATGCAATCGTTGGCCCTCCACCATAATCTGGGCATTTCGGCGATTAAGCGATAGATTAATGCACAAGGCAATGAGATCCAGATCGACTTTAACATTAAGGTTTAGGATAATGGCATCCGTGGCCATTTGCACGCACTCCGTTTGCGTAAACATGCCCTTGACTTTGTCATCCAAGCTCATGTGATAGAGTATCTTCACAGCAATGCCGTGATGCTTCTCATCGTTGATGAACATCACCAGCATGGGCAAAAAGCCGGCGGCAATCATCTTGCGACGCAGTCCACCGTCGAAGGAGAGATTGAAGACCAGCTTCAAGGTGACCTGCACCAGATCTGTGTGCGTGCTCTGGAACAATCGTGGCAGCTTGGCCACAATGTTGAGCGCGCCCATCTCGTCCTTGTTGTCACCGACAATCGATAGCTTCTTGAGGAACGTGCTGACGAGCATCAGGAGATCGATATTCTGGCGATCCAACGCCTTCACCAGCATCTTAACAATGTGCTTGCGCCGCATCTTCTCCTCCAGCTTCACATTCTCTGCCATGTTCAGTAGCAGATAGAAGGCCACGCGTAGCAGTTGCTCCTGCTTCTTGGCAAAGATCTTTAGCTGCTTGTTTAGCCGATCGATCTCCTCCTTCTTGACCTTGGGATCATTCCTGTCCAGAGACTCGTTGCTCTGGGCCTTGAGTTCAGCGGGCACAGCTGGAGGATCGCCGGCAGGTGAGCCGCCCGCGCAGAGTGCCTCATGGTAGCTGCTGTTCAGGATCTGGCTCTTGATCAGCGACGACGACATGGAGCCATGAAAGCTGCTCCAATTGCCCGACTTGGGCCGCTGTTTTAGCTCCGGAATGCGACGACGCGGGGGCTCCATCTCCTTGGGCTTCTCCTCATTCATAATGTCCAGGAAGTCGTCGGTGCTGCGGTTCAGTTTCTCCTTGCTGGCCTTCGCCGAGTGCGGAGTGGAGGATCCATTGGGCTGCTTGCGCACGTCCAGCTCATTTCGCATCGTCTCATAGCGACGCAGTTCGTAGTCAATCACATCCATGCAAAGCGATCCAATCTGATATGTATTAATATTAAAAATCAATATACTTTAGTGTTTGTAAATCAATATTCACCTTATATTGCACAATTAGGGGATGGAACTTGGTGTATGTGGAGAAGCAGAAGAATATGTAGATTATGTTGGTGGAGAGATCCAGGGATTTGCGCCAGTCCTCGCGCAAAACCCTCGACAAGGCGCTGAGGCAGGCTTCTAAAATGTTCCAAGAAAATAATAAGTAAGGTTTCACACTGGCTGCCCATCTTATCTAACCATTCTTTTCCAGCTCCTCAAGATTATCGGGATTTCGCGCCATCTGTAGGATCATGGCCGAGCCCCGGATGCGTTCGCCCAGCTCCTCGTACAGCAACTCCACATACTCATCGATATTGTTGATGGACACATCCGCTGTGGGCGTGGCGGCACTCAAAGCATTGGATACACCATTGGTGGCTCCTGTGGATCCTGATCCGCTCCCTGTGCTGCTAGTCATGGCCGCCACACTGCTGTGCGATCGGGCGGAGGAGCGTGTGTGCGCGGTATGGAGTGCCGCCGATCGCCGGCTGTGAGTGTTGTTGTCCGGAATATCTAACAGATAGGGGATAAGTATTTCATTAATCTGGTATCTTACAAAGTGAGAACTGATTATTACCCGATTTCTTACCATTGCTGGTATTATCCTTGCGATTCTTTAGGTAGAAGATTATCTGCTCAACGTCATTCAGCTGGGACTTGTGGATGAGATCGCATTTTTCCACCACTTCGCGGGCCAGGGCCGCTGGATCCGTTTTGGAGTTCAGCGAGCGGAGTCTAATGATTTTCTGACAGTTCTGAAGGAAGATACAATTAAGGAAATTATACTTTTAAATATTATACATATAGCTTATTGCTATTGTTTCAATCTAAGGATTATACCTTAAACTTGTGTAGTTATATTGACATTCTTCTTTATAAAAACCTAGTTTCGAATTTTTAATAAAGGATCTTGTGTATTTCTAAAATTGATTGTCAAAAATCTGAAGATTAATGTATATATAAAAGAAAACCCGAAATATTATGGGTATCAATGCATAACCCAAACCTTAAGAGGTAGAGCAGCTAAACTTTTACTTAACATTCCATAGGGGGCTAAGTTCAATACATATAAAAAAAAGAATTAGAAAAAATACACACAACTAATTACAAAAAACAAATAGAAAAAGTACACAAAGAAATATAAAATATGATATAATGAGAACTATACGAACTACGCCATTCATCCACTTAAAAGCTCATTATATTACATATATCTTTTTGATTACTCTAGCTTTATTGATTTAACGAGATTGTTTAAAGTTGAGGAAATAGTTTGGAAACATTTCAGGTCGTTCAAGTATGTATGTACATACTTATCCACAAAACAGAATCTGATCTGGGGTAAAAACTTTTACGGTCGCCAAGACTTCTGGCCAGAAACGACCAAAAAACAGACCTACTATTTATTTATGGTCGTGAACAATCGACGAAAACGAGCGACAAAAAGGCCAGAAAAACGTGAATTGAGGTTAAAGACCCGCCAACCGCTTTTGGTATCTCTGCTCACTACTTTACTACCCGATACTTGAGCGCGACCCGTCATCGACCCCGTTGTTACTTTATCGATTGGCCCGCTCAATGTCAGCTTCTGCCCCCCGCCCCTTAACCCTTTTGTGGTACACAGTGACAAATTATGGCAAATGAACTATTGTCAAAGCGTCTTTTGTTGGTTCTTTCAAGGAGTTTCAGTTAAAAAGTTTTGCTAAATTTGCAACATTATTTCTTATAAGTGAAAAGTCTACAATACAATTTAAACTGCACATATTTTTATATGTGAATGTCGAGGATTATTAGTTATTTATTATTAACTTAGTAGTGCATCCAATGGACATTTCATATAATATATCTCAGTGTAAGAAAAAACTATCTTATATTTTAAACGCAATTTACTGATTTTTCCTCTACTTGACTGACTTTTCTTAACTTTTTTCGTTTCAAGGTACTGAAGTCCTGATATTTTCTATATAATAAATTATCTTAAATTTGTATTCTATTTTTTTGTAGATATCATATGCCTAAAACATTAAACACTGCAATGAAATATTCAGTAAGCATGATGCACTAAAACCTCACAAATAAAGGGTTTGTACTTTATTTAAAGAATATTACTAAAGCTACCTATATTATTTGTATTAGAAACGGATTACGCTAACAATTTTTTTTAATATTATATAAAATCTATGACGCGAAAGCATCGCTGTTGTTAGGTAAAACAAAAGAGAATTTTTAAAGTATTTCAGAATACATTTACTTTTACTCTATGATTCATACTTTAAATTCTTCGCTTTTATTTACTAATCAATTAAAAATAGGTATATTTTAAAAAGAGAACTACGATTTATAACAGTCACTTGCAAATCGTGAACTTATGAAATGAGGATTAGGAGGTTCCTTACGTTATTATAATTGTTTGGGTAATTGGAAAACAAATTATAAGTACTGGATATTACAAACTATATTTTTTTTCTCCCATTCGAATCAGATACGTTCTCTAAAACTGGTTTTCCTTTCAATCTTCTATCAACTTTTTCCCCCACAATGTTTTGTTTGTTCTATAAAACTCGCGTAACTACTGAGATTTTCTCGCAGTGCATACTAGATGTTCTCACCTTTTTCTCCTCGATCATCGGGTTGTTGGGCTCCCCGAAGACGGTGGCCTCCAGTTGGTAGTTGACAATCAGCGCCTTATCCGTGGGATGCGGTTCGATGGATCCGCCTTTCCACCTCCTGTTTGTTTGTTGTTTTTTTTTTTCGATTCGTTTGTGTTGTTTGGATTAAGAGCGAACAATTTGTTGGATCAATCATAAATTATGCGGGTCAATGCGTAATGGGGTGTAATGCTGCTTTACTGGCTACACAGCACTCCAGAATAGGAAATAATACATTTCATTTGTGAATGAATGAATAAATTATACTAAAATCTAAAAATCATAATAGAATCGATGGGGAATGGCCAAAAAGGAGGGTAAAACATGGGAAGGCAGAAGTGGAAAATCAATAAGAGCGCAAGGTGAATTTTGGCTCTCTTTCTGACGTATTTGCTATTTCTTTTGTTCTTCTTCTGCCACTTGTACACCCACACATGAAAACAAACAAATACGCACACGCACACACACACACACACGCTCCAACCGTATACATACGCACTTTTTAATAAACTTGGCGTCATCGTTTGTTTGCATTGTTGTTGCTGTTGTTGTTAGCGGAAGAGGAAGAGGCGCAAAACGGCAGGAATTATTTGTCAAATTGTTTATGACAAGTGAAGGTGGCGGCGGCGGGGGGCGGGGGTGGCGCTCTTCGACTGGACAGGGGCTCTTTTGCAGCTGCTGCTCTCGTTGCGCTCTCTTTTGCTCGCACAAGTCGCCGGCAATCGCATTTATTATGTAATAGACGTAGTGGATCACAATTGGCAGCAGCACCAAGCCCGAGATAATTTGGAAAATTAATAACAAAACAAATTGCATGCGATTGCAATGCGACTCCCGTTTATTTTTTGACGTCGATTAGTGTGACCATGGAGCTAGAGGTGCGAAAACATCGATGAAAACATCGGCGAAGCGATATCTTGAAAGCTTTCGATAACATCGTTGTCGAATATCGTTGATTGCACATCACTAAATGTTAAAATTAAACTATTTCCCAGGATAATACAAATTGAGTGTTTTGATGGTAGAGAACCATTACTTTTTTAAAAACATCAAATTTATATAAACTTGTGTAGTTGCTGGCAAGATTTGGCTTTTAAACAAAGAATAACTTCTATAAAAAATATTGAAAAAACCCGCAAAACTTGTTTTGAAAAAAAAATAAACTTATCAAGTAAAATATATTGAATGTACTTCCGAAAGTCCTTTAATTTTCCATTGTTAAATCCACCAAGCAATTGCAGTATTTATGGGCACTGCGCTTTAGAGATTAAAACAAAAATATAATAAAACATCCACAAATATTTAAGAAACAAGATATGTTATGGGATCGGTAATGGGATGGCATAGGTAAATTTAAATTTTTTGGCTGCTATAACAAAAATAATCGTCAGATCGAAGAATGCCATACCTCGATGAACTCGTTGTTTAATTTCCAATTCATTGGCGTTCAAACCTGAAAATTTGTATTTAAAAAATACATTTTCCTTAAAATGATTGGGATCGATAGCAAAGGTAGCAAGCTGCCCAAAACAGTCGGTCATTTATCTGTACTCCTTGATTTGGCTAAACTACGACTGAAAAACCACTAAAAATTAAGTATTTTTGACCAAAATCTGAATCACGAAAAAATCCGATATACCCCCTTATAAAAATTGCGAAAATGGGTCAAAAATAAATGTTCCTTAAAGTGATAGGGATCGATAGCATTTGTAGCAAGCTGCTCAAAACAGTCGGTCTACGATTGAAAAACAGAGTAGAAAAATCATATTTTTGTCTAAAATGTGAATCTCGTATTTTTGACCAAAATCTGAATCCCATTATTTCGGCCTAAAAATGTAGTTTTTTGAAAAACTGTTCTATTATTCTAATCGGTTTTATAGCCCACACTTAAAAGATCAAGTCAGGCATAATGTAAGCGTGTATTTATTTAGTAAAGGAAAATTGTGTTTAGTTGAATGAGGCTTTGTAATGGATTTTTGGGTAAGAGTCGTTTTTTTTTAATTTTGGTTTAGTATACTTTTCCGTTAAAACTCCGATATTTCGATTATTTTAGCCTCGCCGCTTGATTGGCCGCAGCTATCGATAGACACAGCGAGCCAGTATTTATCGGCCTTTAAACAGCTAGAAATAGCTATAAGAAGCCAAGACAGCGCCATTGGCTTGTTCTGAAAGAACGCAATGTCCGGCAACACCGCGTCCAGAACAGCTGGGCCGGCGTTGCCAGGTGCCGCGAAAGTGGGGACGAAGAGAGGAGCAAAGAAAAGGCAACAAAAGCGAAATGAAATGAGGGAACTACAATAAATACTTAGTAGTATTATTAACCGAAAAGCGCGGCGCGCTCACAATGTTTCTGACTGCGAACGGCGGCGGTTGTCTATTTACCGAGTGAGCGCAGCGGTTGTTTACATTCCGATAGCCGAGAGACCACAACAAATAGTCGCGAATAACAAATAACAATAACAATGAAACATGCAAATAAAATGCACGTAAGGCGCGGCGCAAATGAATGATTTAAATTTAAATTTAACACACACGATACGATGACCATTTAAAAGAAGCAGCGGGACACAAAAAGAACCCAAGAAGCGCAAAAGAAAGGCGAAGAAAGTCAAAAATCAGGCCAAACCGATTTGTTTTTTTTTTTGTTTGTGTTCTGTTTGTTTTTGTTTTTGTTGTGGTGTGGCTTCTTTTCGTTTAATTTATTTTTTTGCGCAAGAACAACAAATGAAAGCACACAGCACTTGAAATGGAATTTCTGGAGAACCTGTACAAAACGCTGCAGAGCCTGCTGTGTGAGTAATATCAATTAGGGCTCGATAATTGCTTAAATATCTTATAGAAATCTTGTTTTTTTTTAGCCTCCTACATCGATCTGGATTACTCGCTATGGCTGTACCGCTTCCTCACCCCCCTGATTGTCACCTTTCTGCTGCCCCTCGTCTTCGTGGCCCTCATCTATATTTCCTTTCTGGTGCTTTTTATCTACAAGTTGCACAGGTAAGCGAAAAGAACGCAAAAAACCTTTGTGGCAGTGCAAAACTGTTGATTGGCCAAAATGAAAATGGGAGGTAATTGCAATTACAGTGTAGTTCTTGCACTCCCCGCTAACTGTTAATGAACTCTCTCATGCTGATCGCGCGTTTTTGGGGCCAATCTTTCTCCCACCCAACTGGCCGTCTCGCTCTCCCCCTCGCAGCCGGCATTTTTTGTCCCGCTCTCCAGTTGTAATTAAAAGGGCACACGAGAGGGAGAAAGAGAGCGTGTGAGAGAGCGGCTCCCGCCAGTGTTGCCAGCAAAAGAAGCTAGATAAAAGCGAAACTCAAAAATACAGTGGGCACTCGATAAGGGAAACAAATAAGGGTTCTTAAATGGAAATGGTTTTAAACATAAAAATTAGTTTGAGTCAGAGAAGTACTTTTTTTCATAAAATCTCTAAGGTTTAATGGTTTAAATGTTCAAAATACCGATTTTACATAGTTTACATACAAATCAAAAATTTTGTTTAAACTATTTCAAATTTTTTATTTCCAAAAAATATTTTTTGCGTTATTTTATTTTATTAAAAAATAAATGACAAGTGTATGTAATAACCAATCATAATTATTAATTATTGGAAATTAAGTAACGATTTTTTAATGATTTTCATTATTTTTTTTAAATTTTCTGTCGTTCTATAGATACATCTAAAATGAAGAAATGCATTTCGTTTTAGTACGTTTGTATAGCCTTCTCTTGAAATATATTAATATTAAAACAAAAACTTTATTTCAACGAAAAAACATTTTAAATCCTACAAACAGAAACTTTTTTACTGCTGCAATTGCATTTATTGCTGTTAATCTTAACCTTCGCATTACAGTGTTCTGTCTTGTAATCTTAAAAAAGCCAACTTGCCCAACACTGATACCACTGACCCTTCAAGAACATTGCACTCTTGACCATTGCACCAACACCTGAGAGCTGTTCAGCAGGTGATCGACACTGCCAACTTTTACTCTATTTGTGTACCCATATTTACATATTCATATACCGGCCAATGTGTGTGCTTTTATTTATTTTCTATTTCTAACTCTCTAATGGCCAACCGGTTGGCCATGCTAATTACTAAGAAGCTTTTTAGCTTCAACCGCCACTGGCCCTAATGGCTATAACAATGATGGCTAGCGATTTCTGCAGTTTACAGATTGCAAATGAAGAAAAATCATTGCATTGGATTATTTTCAATACCCTAGTTTTTATAAATGATACATAAATTTTTACAGGATTTTGATAAGGGCTGTCCGTGGAATTTCCCATCAACTACTGTTTGCTTAACAACTTAATACTTGTTTATACAACTTTTCAGTCGAACGTTAATTCGTAGCTTAGACTAGATTAAATTTTATTGCGCGTTTAGGTTTTTAACTAGAACCTACTTTTCAAGAACCAACTAGCTGATCATAAGATCATAAAATATAGTGTATTAAAAAAATATCACTATATTTTATTATTTAGGTATACTACTTTAATATTTATACAACATATTTTATTTCCCAAATATATAGTGCTAATAATAAAATGTTGAATCTGTTTTTATAATAATTTTATATGGATGTGCAAAATCCCATATGAAATATAGAGCATAAGCATATTTTTTGCTTAGCAAAAAAATCCAATAAAAATCCTATAATTAGTACAGTGCCTATATGCACAAGCTACAATGTCGAGAAGTGTTTGCTTGTACAATGTACATATATCACATTGTAATATGGAATGAAAGAAAAATATAGTACAGGTTTTTCTTGCATATAAGCAATAAATACACATGGGGCTTATAGAGTACGAAACAATATAGAGACTGCTCAATGAGCGGTGGAAGTGAACTGATAAAATCACAAACCAAAACACGCCATGAGACATTCCTTGGGTCCGATATTGCGACTGCCATATTATTGTTGTTCCGATAGCGTCGTACGCCTTACTTTTCTAATGCCTATCAGTTCATGGTCACTGAAGACCCCGAACCCGAACCCGCCCCAAAGTTCCCCGTCCGTAAAGCTATCACGCGTAATCACGGGAATTATACATCCATAAAAGAACCGAGTGGGGAGGGGGGTTCCGAATGCAATAAACTGTACTACCGCAACCTGATCCCTCACATTCCCCATTTATACATATTTTAACTCTTTTTTTGATGGGAAAACGAACGACGAATGCAGTGAAACCACTATTAATATAAAAAGCTTGACGATGCATAAACGATTCTCTTTTTTATGAATTCAAAATGTAGCACTGTCGTGTTAATCGACCGCTAATTATCTTATAATTTCTAGAGTTACGAAATTGCATGGCGACCTTGATGCTCCAAGATCTAAGTAGAAAGTAATAGATATAGTTTATAAGATCCGTTGTTTCACATTAAAAATGAAATTGTAAAATGTTGTTTTTACAATTCAGGTTTTTTTTAATGTTTTAAATACATTTAGTACGATTCATCTTTAAAATGCATTTTCTGAGATACAAAGATATTTATAATGAATTCGGTTTCTGAAAGTAGGGGATGGGAATAGATGGTGTGGATTGCCCGACTTTGTTTTGGTCGCCAAGGGGCCAAAAGATTTGTGAATGAACCCTGTTATCAGTTTCCCACTAAACGCAGTTTTGCCAAGGTGAGGTTAACTTTGTTTGTGTGCATATTGATTTATAAGTTCTTTGATATGGGGAGACACGACCATCTTATGCTGATAACACCTGCGGACAGCCAACTAAATTTAAACATAATTATCAGTGGGCGCCTGCCAAATTTTGTGTTCTTTTTTTTGCCAATTAATTAGGAAGCGAGGCTAACCTGAAAGACCTTTATAAACTTAAGTTTTTACTTTTGATCAGGTTCGAAATATCATAATAAACATGATATTGGCTTGGGTATATTGATAATAAGAATATTTACATGTAAAACTGTAGGTTTGGTTCAATCTGACAGCAAGTTCAAAAGATTTTAAATCAAAGCTCTAAAATAATCGAAATATTTAAATAAAAACTGTATTTATATTTATCATTAAATTAAATTCAAACTAATTTGATTATCTAAGTATAAATATTTCTATAAAACAATGTAAGTTTGTTATATATTATCCCTAAAATTTTTTTATTTTAAAGTTTTCAATCAAAATTATATTATTTTTTAGGTTTCAACGAATTTTCTTATTACTCGAAAATATATTCTATTGGAATATCCCTGAAAAATGTTATTATTTTTTAGTTCTCAAAAAATTGTCTTTTTTTTAATTCTCAAAAAAATTGTCTTATGTTTGAATTCCCAAAACAATGTAATATTTTTTATCCCTAAAAAATTCCCAAAAAATTGACTTAGTTTTTAATTCTCAAAAAATTTTCCTATTTCATTAATTCAAAATTTGAATTTTTTTAAATCCAAAAATATTATCTTTTATCTTAACCACAAAAAAATTACACCTCATTTGTAATAAAATGTTAATTTTTGGTTTTCAAAAATGGTCTAATTTTTTATTCTAAAAAAATTAACATCCTCAAAAAATGTTCGTTTTTTCTTCTTCTTAAAAAATGATATTTTTAAATCTTCAAAAAAAATGTATATTTTGTAATCCTCAAAAATGTTTTTTTTCCAGGCAGGTGATAATGCGGGCGGTGCAGGACGACCGCAACTTCTGGCGGGTCGGTCGGAAGATCGTGGCGGCCATCTGGGATGCCCATGCCCGGATTTACCACGGCTACGAGGTGATCGGCCTGGAGAACGTGCCGCAGGAGGGTCCGGCGCTGATTGTCTACTACCACGGAGCCATACCCATCGACATGTACTACCTCAACTCGAGGATGTTGTTGCAGCGCGAGCGCTTGATATACACGATTGGGGATCGCTTCCTATTCAAACTGCCCGGCTGGGGCACCATTTCTGAGGCATTTCACGTCAGTCCCGGCACTGTGCAATCCTGCGTGAGCATCCTACGAGATGGCAATCTACTGGCCATTTCACCGGGCGGCGTCTATGAGGCGCAATTCGGGGATCATTACTATGAGCTGCTGTGGCGGAATCGCGTGGGATTTGCCAAGGTGGCCATCGAGGCCAAGGCACCGATCATTCCGTGCTTCACGCAGAATCTGCGAGAGGGCTTCCGCCAGGTGGGCATCTTCCGGACGTTCTTCATGCGGCTGTACAACAAGGTGCGCATTCCTGTCTATCCCATCTACGGGGGATTCCCCGTCAAGTTTCGCACCTACTTGGGCAAACCCATTCCCTACGATGAGAGCCTAACGCCGCAGGATCTGCAGATAAAGGTTGTTAATTGAAATTTTGATTTGTTATTCAATAAACTAATTGTTTTACCTTTGATAGGTGGCCACCGCCATCGAGGATCTGATCAATCAGCACCAGCGTTTGCCCGGCAGCATTTTGCTGGCCCTCCTAGATCGCCTGCCTTCCTTCAGGAGACGCCTTAAGAAGAAGGACGAGTGATCCTTATCGAGATCCTCCACACACGTCAATCCCATTTCCGTTTAGAGTATAGAGAGATTAACAGATTGACTTTGGTTCTGGCCATATAAAGACTTTGTTCCATGTACTTTTCCATGTACTTCATGATGTATAGGCAGCGCCATATATATATCTCTGTAGATCATACTTACACTTATGTATATTTAAAAAATAATCTTTGTAAATGTCTCCCAGCCCCCCGAATGGGCTTTCCTTTTTACACACTTTTTGTTGTTTGTTAGTCACAACTTCTCAAGTTCATTGAAATCCGGACACGTACTCGCTTAAGTTAAACACACACGTAGATCGTATAAACTTTTTAATTAGCCCTAAAGTAAGACTAACTTGAGTCAAACACCGAACAAAGAGAACCTCTACCTTAATTTTTTTATATCGCTTTGTCCAAGAGAAATACCTTAACCCATTTTTGATATCGTTTTCTTTCTTTTTAGTGTATTTTTAGACACATTAAACAATTATATAATTAGTTTTGCATTAAGTATAACGTGCATATATCATTTTTGTACCTTTTTTATGAAGAAACAAAACAAAAAACAAAGAAAAGATGAAATATATCTGCCTGTGAGTGTGTGCAAGTCTGTGTGTGCGATTGTGTGTACTATATAGTTAAGGAAATCGTTTGTAATGTAGCTATACAATCTGAGTATTCCAAGTGACAGGAATTTTCAAAAGAAAAATGAAATAAATAATTGAAAGAAAACCTAAAACTAACTAGTTTTCATTGCAACAAAGTTGGAAGATCTTAGACTTTTTAAGAAAAATAAGGTACACATTTTGATTTACCTTCTTATTTATTTGGTATCGTTTTAAAATTCGTCTATTTAACGCTATAAATGACTTTGCATTTGATTTACTTTTTCACTCGGTTTGTTGTCAAAGTTTCTTAAGTATTGTACAGCAACTAGAGACTGGAATATGTGAGGACTATATAGTAGTGTAAATAAGGATAGATGGGTTTTATTCAACGCAGATTCGCCAAAGAAAATGTTTAAAGCTTAGCTGCTTGCTACATTTTAAGCAAATTAATATGACTGCTTCAAAAACGTTAATCGTTTCGAAAGCCCAATGCGTTTGGCGGGTCAAAGAAAACCCAACTATCCTAAGCACAAACATGTAGATCATTTCAGGAATCCTGGCAGGGATGTTCGTTGAGGAACTCACAGCAGATTTTAGCAGACAGATGCTAGATTCCAGGTCTAGAACTGCTCGGCCATCAGGAGGACGACGGTGGCCGTCCAGCCGGTGAAGGGATTGCAGCCCTTGCCCTCGCCGGTGGTGTCATCGTACTGCTCCCACAAATAGCCGCTGCGCTGGTACTGCCTGAAGATGTTGCCCACCAGGTTGTCGCGCAGTTCGCTGTAGATCTGTCGCGCCAGAGCGGCATTCGGCCCCTCGATCTTGCCATAGTGATGCAACGCCTTGGCCGCCAGATAGTTAATATTTATCCAGATGGGGCCACGCCAATACGGTGGATCGTGCTCGGTGTTTCGTTTCATGTACAGTGGCGATCGTTTGGAGAGCGAACGCAGACCGTAGTTAGTCCACAGTTGCTCCGGATCGCGAAGATCATGCAGCAGCTTGGTCAAATATGGCGAATCATGATCCAGTTGCTCTAGCAGCAGCGGGAACAAGCTGACGTAGCCAAAAGTGCTGTCCACAAACTGATACGTGGGCTCCTCGCCAGTCACACGTCGCATTTCGGGCTGCTGGTACTGCTGATGATGATGCCGCTGCTGCTGCTGCGGTGCCATCGACGGTGGACGCTTCAGCTTCACCTGGTCAGTGTGGAGACCCCAGTCCGAGTACTGTTCGCTGTAGGGTGCCAAATGCAAGCGATTCAGCCGCTCATTGTCCATCAAATAGGAGGCCGTCTCGTAGTATTTCACATCATCTTTGCCCAACAGCGTGGATAACTCGGCCATCACACTGGCCGCCAGGGCAATCCAACAGCGCAGATCCAGGTGACGCTCCTTGTCCGTGGGATGCGAGGCACGCGGATAGTCATCCAAGCCGGAAGACAAGCTCTTTGGGTTTAGCTCCCGCGTGGTAGTGGCATTCCGTCCGCGCCACAAATAAGTTCCCAATATTTCACCTGTAAAGTGAAGAATTTAACATCAAATAGACAAGGATAGATGGAGTTTGTAGTAACCCACCCCTTTGCGTGGTGTTGTACCAGTTAAACCAGGCCTGAATCCTTGGATACAGCCGCTCCAGCGTGGCCAGACGTCCATTTTGCGATAACTCCGCCCGGTGGCTGGTCAACAGTTTCTTGAGCGTCAGGAATAACGTCGGCGGATTGGCATTGCTGTTGCGCTGCGTGACAAACTCCTCGGGCACCTTGGCCAGCGCCTCAACGCCCAGGATTTGCTCCCTGGGTATCCAGCCCTCCACATTGAGCAGATCGAACCAATGGCACAGAATGTCCAGCTCGATGTCCACATCCCAGGCGCTGATCAGCAGGCCGTGGAAGCCCTCGTCCCAGAGAAAGCCGCGTGGGAAGAAGCTTCGCGAAGGCACGGCGGTGTATAAAGGAGCCTTCCAGTACGGCACTGGATTCTTGGTGTGCACCGACTGCACCCGGCTGGAGCCATAGAAGTAGCCAATGCCGCCCAGCAAGTTGCTGAAGGCATTCCGCGCGAATCTCACCTCCTCGGGCGAGTGACCCTTCTGCCGCAGCTGGAATCGCTCCTCGAAACGTTGCTCAAATTGGGCAATCTTGGCCTGCAACGAATCCTGATAGGCTCTGCCCGTCGGCGGCTTGGGTATGGATTCGCCCAGCGAAAAACCCGATGTAGATTGGTATGTGATATCCAGCGTGAAGTCCACCTCGGCTGTGATCTGTATGGCTATGAAGTTGGGCTCGGGATTGTTGGTGGGCAGACCATTCTGGGAGACTATTTCGCCGGGCAGGCCTATAAAACGTTTGCCCCGCCTGTCGGCAAAGGCGCGAAAGTGCGAGAAGAGCGTATCCTTGAGCTTGGCCAGCGACGGGGCCACCGTACTGAGGTAGGATTTGTGCAGGATCTTGCCCTTGACGGCATGGAAACGCACCTGGAACTCGCCCAATCCTTGCGTCTCACCATAGACACCCGGCTCCGGACTCTTCTCATCCGACACGTACTTAATATGCCCATTGGTGCGTTCATCCAAAGCCACGTACCAAATCAGCGAGATACTTTTGTCCCACGCACGCGTGGTATTTCTCACCGAGATGCGGGCTGTCCAATCGCCGCCGTACTGCTTACCCTCGGGGTACTTAACAAACGAGGTCTTGAGCTCGAAAGGCAGATCTTGGATCTCCTGGACGCCAAAACTACGACCATCGTGATGAGTCCAGCCATAGGAGTCCAATTTGTCGCCCTGCTCGCACCAGTGGCGTATGCCCTGGCCCCCAGGACCCAGATTGCTCGGCGAATACCACATGAGGCCCATGACAAGGGAATGGGGATCCCGCGTCTTCATCCCGAAGTAATTAAGTGACCTGTAGGAGCCCCAATAACGATCCGGTTGCTCCAGACCGGCATGCAGCACCATCTTCTGGTGGTCAAAGGGGGTGTTCACCCGCGTCTCCAGGTAGCCCAGGTAGCCAAAGTACGAGGCAATGGCCAGGCAAACGCATCCGATCATCGTCTTCCACTTGTCCAGGATCAAATTGGAGGACAAACTGAAACGGGGACTGCGCTGTTGTTTTTGCTTGGCACTGGAGGCCGCTGCCGCTGCCGCCGCCGCTGCCGAGGCCGGCGTGGAGCCCGAGGAACTGCCCGTGTTCCTGGCCATTTTCCGCTTTTCCTGTTGTCTACTTTAGCGTTTTTTTGTTGAATTTTCCGCTGCTTCTGTTTTCCTGCAGCACATTGTTTTTTTTCGATCTGCGCGGCGTTGCCAGAGCCTTGCAGTCTGCAGATTTTTGGATGCTCTGCCCTCTCCTTGGTTTGTGTCCTTGCTTTTAATAAGAATAAAAACATTTTAAAATCTTTTTTAAACTATCATATATTTGAAATGCTTTATTTTGTAGAAATTGTTTCAAGCAATTTACTGGCGTTTTAAATTAAAATGCGAAAAAAAAATTGATCAACAGATCAACAAAAATTTTAAATGTATGTTCACAATATTGGGCCTCTAAAATTGATTTTAGATATAACGAAATATAAAAAAGGGACCAATAGATCAAAAAAATAATACAAATGTATGTGCACAGTTTTGGGACCTCTGAAATTGAAATAAAAGTTAACGAAATATAAAAAACAGGTGTTCACCATTTTGGGGCCTCTTAAATTGATTTAAAATATTACAAAATATAAAAAGGGATCAATAAATTACAAAAAATATTTAAAATGTATATATATAAGTATGTTACGTTGATTAAAAAACACAATTCTTAAGGTTCTTCACCTTGAAACTGGGTTACAAATGGTTGATGGTCAAGTAATGAGCTCCAAAAGTGCAGTTTTTGGGTCACCTTACTCAAATCTTGTTTCTTTGACTCAAAAGTCACAACATAAGTGCTGAATTCTCTAAATCTGATAAAAACTGATTTTCCCAAACCGTCTGCATCGATTCAAATTATCAGTTACCCGAAAATGTTAAAATATTTGGCGGGAATATTTGCCAAGCCGCGAAATGACTACGTGGATGGTCGTCTGACCACGCCATTGACCAAAAAGATGGCCAGCATTCGCGACCCGCAGCCTAGGATATCCCTGAAGACCATCATAAATAGGGACAGGATTACGACTTGTAAGGGGAAGGGGAATAGGAATCCCCAGGTGTCGCGACCCCAAAGCAGATCCCCCCGGAAATTCGCCAAATCCCATGTGGATCCCATTAGCTATATAGTCGATGTGTCGAACTCCTCTTCGTCCCTCGATGAGGGGGAAACCATTCCGCAATTACCAAGCAATACGAAGCTTTTGGAGGATCAGAATAAGAATAAGAAATCTAGAGAATTTATACCCGTTCCACCGCCTGTTAGCCGTGTCCAAAGTTGGACAGGTCCTTTCAATGCCAATCCCTTCAATGAACATGATAACCTCTCCACTTCGAGGCAGTTTTCCATCAACGGAGAACAGGATCCTATGGGCTGGGAGCTGGACTGGCTTCCAGAAGAGTTTTGGTCAGCGAGTTCGGAACCAGAGGTCATTAACAAAGAAATTTGAAGAAATAATATATCTAATTTTAACTACCTTCCTAATTTGAAAATGTGTTTTGATACCTTTCGATTTTAGGGTAGCCTAATATAATAAAATTAAGGATGATACTACCAAAATATTTTTTATATTCAAAATAGCCCTAAATTAAATTATTTTAGAGAATATTCACTTGGGAATTATAGGGAATGATACACATGATTCACAGTCCTACAATATACGATTTTTTTTTTGGAATATCACACAGAAACAAACATATTTTTCAAGTGTATAAAAAATAATTTAATAAACAAAATAATACAAATTCAAACATTTTTTAATGCGGTAGCTTGTTACTTAATTTTTTTAAGGACTTGTTTAACCACCCTTTACATTTATGCTTGTTATTCATAAAGGAAATATACAATTTTAACTAAAAGTTTATAAATAATAAACTTTAGAATAAAACATAATTGTGAAATCTCCAACTAATTTGTGACGTAATAAAATAAGCGTCACCTTCCAATTAAGCCCAAGCCAGCCAGCGTTGCCAGACCTGCACAGGCGTTCTGTGAAATTTAGTACATTTTCGCACTGTACATGTGCACCAAATATTTTGATTTGTTTTGTAGTTTATTTACATTAATTGCTGAAAATTGCTAAGAACTGACTTAAAAATGAACGTCAGTGAGGATTTCCAGCCGGTGCCCACGCGAGCGGCCCTGGCGCTGCAGAAGAAGCAGGGGAACAGCGATTTTCAGGCGCTGGTCTTCCAAGAGCCACAGGCTGCCACAAAAAGTGGATCCAAAAGGAAGGATGAAGGATCTAAATCGGAATCGCAGAAGCCCCACAAAACCAAGGAGGCCGGCAACGAGCTGAATCCCGAGTTCGATATCAAGAAGGCCCGCCACGAGGTCCTCAACTTTGCGATGAAAAACCAGCGGGTGATTAAAAACAAGACCAAAATGGAAATGTTCCAGCTGGTTAAGCTGGGCGCCAAGCCGCTGCGCAAGCAGGTCAAGAACTACAAGGAGCTCAAGGACGAGCGCCAGCGGCTGAAAAACATCCGCGAGGAGCGCAAGAAGTTCCATCAGTTGGGCAAAAACCAGGCAGGCGCCGCCAGCGTGAAATGCCGCAGCAAATCGCAAAAGGAGCGCAATGACAAGAAGCGGGCGCCCGTTTCGCAGATTGATCAGCACTACGGCAAGGCGCAGCCCAAGTTCAAGACGAGAAAATAGTTGTTAAATAGACTAATAAAAAACCTAAGTTAGTTTCATCTTTTTTTTTAAATTCAAAGACAAAAGTGTATGTAATGATTTTTCAACAGTCTGGTAACGTTCTGCTTGGCTTGGTCTAGCCGAATGACCTTAATTGGGTGTTAATTGAGTTATTATTAGGCTGATTAAACATTTATTTGTTATTATTATTAACATTTAAAGAAATTTCAAAATATTCAAACAAACAGTATGGCCATTTAATGCAGTATTTATTTTTTGGCCAAGGTGGCTACTTTCCCACGTAAACAAGCCTTGCCAGATATCCCGCCGATAAGCCTACTTTTGACATTGCCCAACACAGGTACTTTGTTGATACCTGATTACGTGAATTATTTTTGCGAATTAAAAAGCTAGTTATCAATTCAGCGCTCAACACCATGTTCTCGCCCACGCGTGCCCTGCGCCCTGCCCTGAACCGCTGCTACAGCCAGATCAAGGGCGGACCCGCTTCCGGCGGCGGCCGAGCCAGTGCCCCAGGATCTGCATCCGAATCCCCAGCTGCATCGGGCCCATCTTTGCCAAACGTCGTGGGACTGAGCAGCAACTGCGTGAAGCCCACCACTGCACCCGTGGGACCCGGCGCCTCTGCCACCAGCGGCTACAAGGTGCCCGAGTACTTCAGCTTCAATCGCTTCAGCTACGCAGAGGCGGAGGTGGAGATGGCCAAGTACCGCTGCCCACAGCCCTCGGCCCTCAAGTAGATGCAGCCAATTGGAAACAAATTGTTAATGTTAAATAAAAACTAGAAAGGAGTTTAAAATTCATCAAGACGTTGTGTTTTTCAGGGGGTGTGTTTTGGGGGTAAGGGTTAAATGCCAGTGTTACCAGCTCGACAGCTTACAAGCGCTTTCCAACACCAACCAAGCCACTTTCCAACACCGCCAGCCCTCCCCTCCCCTCTCTTGACATTTTCAGTTTCTAGCCCAACAGCCAGCGATTTCGAGCGCGGGAAATTCGTGTAAATCGCGCTAAACAGCCACAACAATTCAGTGCGCACAAATCACTGCAACCAATTCAGTTCAAACAATCGATTGGTGTTCGCAATCGAGTGGAATTCCAGGCGCAAAAAACGACACAAACGGGAAAGCCGTCGAAAAAGCAACAACACACAAAACCAAAACGGCCGCCGTGCATGTGTGTGTGTGGTACAGTTGGGTAGAAAAACATCGCCATCGCGGCTGCGAGTTGCCACCTCGTTGCCATTTCTTTTGGTTTTTTGGCCACTATTGCCACCACTTTTGCTGCTCCGTTTCAGCAGTTCAGTTCGTTTGTTGTTGTGCATCCTTTACCTGGTTTTTGCTATATTTTGCAATTGCATTTTTTGGTTTGCAACAATTGCAATTGCAATTGCCCCCTGATTTTCAATAATCGCGCGAGAGTGGCCATCCATTGCCGGAGAGCGAGAGCGGAGATAGAAAAAGAGAGAGCGCCGCGTTGTGTGAAAGTGCCAGCGAAAGGAGAAAGAAGTCCGTTTTTAAGGCACCAAACAAACGCCTGAGAAAATGTAAAGCAATTTGCAAAGGTGAGTTTTTAGCAACAATTTGCTGTGCATTTCAATTGGGGCCCCCCTCATATGTGTGGCTGTGTGTGCGGTGTGCGTGTGTGTGTATGTGCACCGACTGGCGCGCGAAAAAGTGACGAAAATAGGCTGCAGAGTTGCCAGAGCAGCGGCATGTTACATATGTACACACGTACATATATATCAATGGAGAACAGTGCGCCTTGCCTATGTGGAATGTGTGGGTTTTCCTATATTCCGCTTGGCATCGGGAAAACTAGAGTTCTTTTTTTAAACATTTAGTCATCCTGAACACACGTCTTCAAAAAGAGCGCATTCTGAAAGTGTTTGTTTTTTTAAGTACTCAAAAAATTAATTAATAAATTATCACAGAAAATAGCGCCAATATCAATAGGCATCTTTTTCTAAGTATATCTTATACACTTTAAGAAATAAGCAATATCTTTGGTACTAAAATGTGGCTGGCAAGCCGGTGATTTTCATATGGCCCACTTGGCATTTGGACAAACCAAAGGTATTTGTCAAACATTAACAGGCATCCTGATCGGACGTGTCAAAATGTTTTAGTGTTTACAAAAATTCAAAATAAAATACCACAGAAAATAGCGTCAATATTAATAAGCATCTTTTCTGTATGAGAATATTAAAAAAAAAACTAATTTTCGGTAATAATAGATATAATTCAGTTATAAACTTCTACAAATTGATCTAATAATTTCAGAATATAGGGCCAATATCAAATAGCATGTTTTGTTATGAATCATATTCCAAAAGGTTTTTTTTAAACAAGTACTTATATTAAATCCAGTTAAAAACTTCTATGCATTGAAAAGTTCCCACTCTTAAAGAAATCAGCACTACTTAAAAGGCTAGCATTTCAAATAAACATAGGTCACCCTTGCCCCATGACCCACTGTATTCTTTCCTATATGGTCACAATATTTTAACCTTCCGTTTTGGCTTCGTTTCCATTCCAGCCACCCATGAAAGATGCGAGCTGGAAAAAAACAGGCAGCTGAAAGCGTCAAGACACGTCCTTGCATCGTTTACGTGAGGAATCTGCACGAGGAGGAGGCGCCCACGCGAGGAGCAGCGCCAGCCGGCAAACTGAGGAAGAGGGATCAGCAGCGGGAGGCGCAGCAGGAGCTGCGTGAGACCCGCACCAGTCGGCGCTCTGTTGTCCCTGTCCAGCAGGACAAGCCCACTCCGCGCACCCGGCACGCCGTTAAGCCAGCGGCCTCGCCATCACCATCGCCCCCATCGCGCCCCAAGATCTCCAGGGATCAGGCAGCCGCCAGGGAGCAGCAATCATCATCATCATCATCAGCCAATCTGGCCAAGAGACGCAGCACCCTGCTGCTAGGCGGCAGCCATCCCCACGGCGGTACTCATCACAAGCTGGGCCTGCTCAAGGCACAGGCGGCGGCACCGCGTCGCTCCCAGGCGGCCCAAGCGGAGACGCCCAAAATGTACAAGCAACCGGCGGCGACCAAGCATGTGCCCGAGAGTCCGCCGCCCACCATTGCGGCCAGTCGCTCGCGACGCTCCATCAAACCGAATCCCAAGTATGCCAGCGATGACATGGTCACGCCCAAGTACATGGCCACCTTGGGCGACGGTGGCGGTAGTCAATCCATCGCCGGACGCCAAGGCAGGCAGTCCAAGCAGCTGTTCACGAACGACGACGACATCAGCGACCTGCTGGACTTGGACGAGGACGATGATGATGAGCTGGCCGATGCCGCCTTCAATCCCCAGCTGCACAAGTCCGATGAGGATGACGACGACGACGAGGACGAGGACATGAGCGAGGCCGAGTACGAGCAGGAGCTGCGTCGCAAGCTGCCGCCCGTGAAGCGTGGACGTGGACGTCCACCGAAGGCCAACAATGCCAATGCCGCCAGCACGCACAGTGCAGGCAATGTGACTTCCAGTGGGGCCAATCCCAAGATATCCATTAATTCGACCGGCGGTCGGACTGCGCCCAGTGGCCTGCAGCAGTTGCGACGCACCATGGCCGTGAATATGGCACGAAATAATGCCAGCTTGACGGAGGGATCGGGTTCCGGCTCGGCGGCCGCCAAACGTAAGCTTGACACCAGTGATGGCGACAGTCTTCCAGTGGCCCGCAAGCGAATGGTCATCTCCTCCTCGACCCAGCAGCGTAGCGTACCAGTGGTAAATGGCGCCACCAGCAAGACAAGTGCGCCCACGAGACCCAAATTGGGTCATCAGGCGGGCGGTGTGCCAGCCCGGATGCTGCCACAGCGTCGGGGCAGCAACTACAAGATCAACTCCTCGTCGAGCAACAACTCCAATGCGCTGGTCACCTCCACGCCCGCAACACGCACCGTGGGCGCTGGTGCCTCCAATAGTGATGCGAAAAACGAGTCTGAGACGGATGATGTGCCCACATTCACCATCGTCAACATCGATGACATTATTAACCAGGACGATGTGCTCATAACTAGATCCCACAATGCTATTGCCGCCGCTGCAGCGGGTGGTAATGCCAGCAAAAAGCTTGCTGTGGGCAGGCCCCGTACCCGGAACATCCCCTCCAGCAATTCGGGGGTCAGCGAAAAGAAATCCATCACTGTTAGCTCGGAGAAGAGCACGCCCGCTGCTGTGAATAACAACACAGCCGCCGGACATCAGGCCAAGCGCATCAAGATCCTGGCCAGCAATAGCAGTGTGAACACTAAATTGGGTCCCTTGCATATCCAGAGTCAGAGTCATAACCAAATCCAGCAGCCCAAGCCCAGGCCGCGGATACTCAATGCGGAGATGGGCAAGAAGACGCAGTCGATGAAGCCGCTGATGAGCATGGGCAAGGAGTTGTGCCCCACGGACGTAGACACCGAGGAGGACGATCCGGATCCAGATTTAGATTTTGATGACGATGACATACCGGCATCGATTGTGAGCCGAAAGAATCCCAAACAGGTGGTGACGGCTCCAGTGGCATCAGCAGGAGGAGGAGGCGGACCAACATCGGCAGCCAGCAAGTGGAACGCCAACCGACGCAATGTTCTCTCCACGACGGCATCAACGGTGAATGCCCGAGCGGACAGGAAGCTGAGCAAGCTGCTGGGCGAGGTCGATGAGCCACAGGTGTTCAAGAAGCCCAGTTTGAGTCCCCAGCGTAGGAGCAAGGAGAATCAGCATGAGCAGCGCGACAAGGAGGAGGCTGGGCAGCAGAAGGAGCCAACACCCGCTGGTGGCGGGCCAGAGGATACCGGCAGTCCCAAATACTTTCCGCCCGAGACAACCACTTTCTGCGAGGAGGATGGGCGCGTTGTGAAGAAGATCACCTGCTACGAGACGTGGCATGTGATCAGCACGCCCAAGGAGTCGCCGACGAAGACGACCCGGCAGCAGCGTACCTGCCTGGAGCTGGCGCTGGTCAAGCTGGCCAATGTGGCGGCCCGTATTAAGGTGCCCTCCGGCAAATGGACCAGCAAGGTGACCCTGTACAAGGTGTCGCCCTCGCTGATGACCCGCCAGACAATGACCATCTTTACGGGCGATCTTACGGCGTACAATATACCGGAGGACGACCGCCACAAATACCAGCCGTCGTGTGTGCTTTTCCGCCGCTCGGTGATGGATAGGAACAAGTGCCGGGTGCCGTACGATCGGGCCATTATCTTTAAGAACAAGTGCTTCTATGCGAACATCGATGGCAAGCATGTGAATCTTATGGGAGCCCCCGAGACGGTGGCCACCGTCAAGGATGTGGAGATCCTGCTGGACATCGTCGACCGTCTGTCGCTCAGCAGCGCCCTGGTGGAGATGGTCAACACCAAGTGAGGAGCGGAGCACCAGCAACACGTATCACATTGTAAAAAATAATTCACAAAACACAACAAAACACCACCACCACCCCCAGCCCACTCACACAAAAACGGACACTCGATAAATTGTTTTAATACAGTAGCAAAAACAAAACAAAAACCGATATCATAAAAGTTTTTTTTTTTGTAAAACCATTAACTTAGTTTTAATAGTTAGTCTAGCGTAATTATTATATAATATCTTATATCTTAAAACAGCGGACGGACATACATAAATACAGGTGTATCTATGTACCATATACTAAACATTTATACATAATATGTCGCGCAGAACCCGAAGAAAATCGGATTGTAAGGTTCAGCGGAGGAGAATAAATCCTGATTTTAATTTTAATGTTTGGTGAGGCGTTGGCAACCCAAAACCACCCCCGATCCCCCTCTTAAAACGCATAAAATCGAACACTTTTTTAAACGGCAGTTATGTAAATCGTAGTTCATTTATACATATATGTAAAATCGGGCGTACTCATGTCTGTTTACGTCGAAAATGGAGGACTAGCTTTTAGGTCGAGTGTATATTTAAGCGATCCCCTTTAAAGTATACAAATAAAAGAGAAAACTGATTTAAATAACGAATGACTTTCCAACTGAACGGGGGCTAGTGATAAATGGCATTCGGGGTTATCAGGAAAAATGAGTGCTGTACATAGAGCGCACCATATGCTGGAGTTTCCAATCGGGAAACCAAAAGAGAGATAAGAAATTACTAGTTTTTTCACTTAAAAAATGGGGTTAAGAGGTTGTAGATTATATTCTCGGAAATTTTCCATACAAAGTTGGTGAAGTATAATTTAAGTATCAAAAAAATTAAAGTCTGATGTTTTTTAGGAATCAAATTAACCATTCTCAATTAATAATGTTAGAAACTCTTGTAAAAGGTCCAACGTCTCTGCTCATACTTAAGATATGATTATAATTTGTATTGTTTCATAAGATCCCAAAGGCAAAAATTTATAATAATTCTTTTTTTTTTAACATATGTGTAATTTAATTAACTGTATACTGTATAAGATTTTTATTTAACTTTGACGATTTTGTCAAAGCAATTTTCGGTAAACACAATAAAAATTGGTAATACAGTTCAGTTGTAATTTAATTAATAGAATTTTATTGCTTCTTATGTTTCTTATTTACAATACTAAGCAACCCGAAAATAATAAAATTGGATATGCTGAGAACATATAAATGGATTTTATTTATTTATGAGGAAATTTATTAAATATATATAAAGATAAAAATAAAGATATATAAATTTACTAAGAGAAAGTCACAATTTAAAAACAAAGGTAGTGTGCGTAAACACGAAATTACAGTGCTGCAAAACAATAAGTATTAGGTGTATGTTCGCGCTAAGTCAGGAGGGTGTATTCGCTGACCTAGCGGAGACACCCACCTGACATTTCACAATTTTTGATTTTAAGCTCGACTTTATAAAACCTTTTGCTCTTGAAAATATCGATGTTTTGCCCTTAAATTAAGAAAATTTTAAGAGCAATCCGCTCGAAACAAGTGTGCAATTCATATAAACATATTTGGCATATTAGAACATTTTTTATGGGTATTTATCTTATCTTTAGAGCTAATTTTTCTTGAAACAAGAAAGTTTTTCTTAATTATAGGGCGACTTTTCTAGTATTTAGCTTACAAAAAAAAATCTTCAATTCGGAATACAATAATTTTGCCACTACCACAGAACAATTATTTAGGAAGATATAGATAAATAATTTTTAAAATTGCCACAATTTTTAATTGCTATTTAAAAGATCTTCGACGAAAGAAAAAGACACATTTGTATCAAATTGAGGCCTTTTGTAGAAATGCCATATTAGAGATAACATGTAGTCCCCTGTTGGAAATGGCAGCTTCAATCTTTCGGGCCTCAGATAAAAATCCTTCACCACTTGTGGACCCTGTGATGATGGTGTATTATAGATATAATTTTTAAAAGTAATTCTATGGATACTTACAACAAATGGACATGAGTGATTTATGTTGGAGAAATCTTGGAAGAGATCAAAGATTATACCTATAATAGGATTGTAGTTTCGCCGCATAAAGCGACAACCATCAACTTTGGCATTTAGTAACCAAGGCTTAAATCCGCTTGCTTTTTTAAAGATCTGTGCATGAATACTTATATTATCGGCCGGATGCAGAATAGTTCCATTTATATTGAGCAAAACCCTATCACGTCTAATAGCCTTCAGGCGACAAGTATGGAACACAAACCACGACTCATTGCGGCTCAGACAGACCACATTTGTAAACTTAAAGACCACCGCATCCTGTAAGAGGAATAGGTTAATTAATCAATATGTTAAAACCAGACTTTACCACATTTCACATCACATTTAAGACCAGGATGTTTATAAGGACTGCTGCGCAGAAAAGACCTGTAACTAGACTCGACCACATTGCACTAAACTAAATCCGGGCATCCATGTACAATTATATTTAATGACATTATAAGGTGTACTAATCGATTTAATAGCTTTGGATATTAAATATGTGATTGCTTTTCCATTAGAAATTGTGTTATAGGGTATATTTTTGTAGTTTGGGCCACTGATTGTTTTTTCCCTAAATTTATGTCATTAACAAGGTTGATCTTTTATCATAGAATTGAAAAAAAATTATTTTTTTTCAGTCACTTACATTTTTTTTGGTTAAAAAATAATTATTTAGAAACTAATAATTAAAAAAAAAAGAGTTTCAAATATACAACCATTTTTCCGGCGATATAAATAATGATTCATTGAGTGGTGTCGCTATCAAATACAGAAAAATACAAAAACATTACTCATTAGCTAACTATTGTTTACGGTAATAGAATTATTATAAACAAGATTATTATTTAAGCTGACAGTTTTTAAAGAAACGGTTTTAAGCAGCCTCAAAAATTATTAGGATCATTAAAATTTTAAAATTTTAACAAATCCCTGATAACGACATTATTGGGTTTGTAATGACCCTAAAAAACGAACTAATTACAGAATATTAATATTTTACGTATCCAAATTGCAACCAAATCTTAATTATTATTAATTTATTTCACAACTTAATAAAGGAAAGTAATCGAATAATGCAGGTTATTAAAACTTAGGTTACATAAATCTTATTCTGTTTAATTCCAAATTTCTTATCTTGAATTTGAAACGAAGAACTCACAACACAAACTTGTTTGTTTCTGTCTATTATTTCCAATTGGTTTTTATAAATATAAATAATGTAGTTATAATCAATAAAAAGGGATTCAATTCAAGACCTCAATATCTTAATAATGGAATTAATTTTTTTCCTTAAAATCTTATTTATATTGGCAAATCATTTCGAACAGTTTTACATTTTTGAAAAACTGTAATACACGCGCGGGCAATGTTAACTAAAAATTTCCCTTCCATCAGCTGTTCGAGAGAAATGTCTCTCTTTTATGGTTATTCCAGGTTTCAAAAACACTCAATTTTTGTGATTTGAGATCTCAGATTTTTTAGTGATTTTTTCAGCCATAGCTCAATTTTTAATGTTGCAGTTTTACGAGAATAAAAACCAAAAGCTCTAGAGATAACTTTGATATCGGTATTAAATTGGTATGTTCCAGAAAAGTATTTTTGGTTAACCTTATAGAATGCCACAGAAAGTTTCAAAATAGTTAGCGTAAAAGGTGCTTGAAAATTGCTCACAAATCTTTTTGGAAAATATTGCATATCTTAGAGAAACTCTAAAAATCCATAAGTTTTCTATTAATTCGTTTTCTAAATATTACCTACATAATCTAACTAGTAATATACATTTTAGTAAAACATGTAATCTATTTTACAGAATGTTAACCGTTTCACCCGGTTGGAGTTCCTGGATTCCAAAGTGCGCCACCAAACAGAGAGAGAGAGAGAATCTCCCATTCCGAATGGGATTCTCCCGCGCGCTCTCTCTCTCACTCTCGCGCTTCTCGCTCCTCTCCCGATTCCAATGCCCGCTTACAACCGTATTTCTCTTTCTCTTTCTCGTGCCGCGAACGCAAAACCAAAATTCACTCTGTTTTTCGCAGCATTACGTTTTTCAACGCGGCCGCGTAAATAACAAGGAAAGCAGCGCGCGCGGAACGATCAGCGGTGGAATTCCAATTGGATGGGAAACGCAAAGCGGAGAAAAACGAGAAACCGACAAACAGAAAACAGAGAACAGAGTCGAAAGACGCAAAAATCGTGAATTAAACAAAAAGCGGAGAAAACCAAAATTCACAAAAATGCCGAGGTGAAATTACGTGAAATAATTCAATTAATTCATTTTTTGCGGACAACAAAACGTCAATACCAAAAAAAAAAAATTCAGAAATAATGGTTGTATTTTGTTGTTACGTGAACGTTGCGTTTTTGAATTTATGAATCAATTCTTTATTGCATCCCGCCGCGTCTTATTTTGAATCATTTCTTTTTTTGCCACTTTTTTTTACTGTGTATGTGCGAAGACAACAACAAACATAATGCTAACAGAAACAACAACCACAACAGCGACAACAAAACATAAACAACAACAGTAAACAGACTTGAAACATCGGCGGCAAGCGGCTAAAAAACTCAACGTAAATATAAAGTCTTACGCTCTCTTAATTACGTTACGTTTTGCTCATTTTTGTTGTTGTGTTTTTGCGATTTTTTGAATATTTTTTTGGAGTTCCCGTTTTTTTTAGAGTTTTGCATTTGGTTTTTTTTTTGGCTCGTTTTTTACTGGTGTAGTTAGTTGGGCCAATTAGCATTTCGGTGTCGCTGTGTTTGCTTATTGGAATATGACAAAATTCAACAAAGCGGTGCAAAATAATAAGATAAAAAAATACGTAGCAGTGGCAAGAAGCAGAAAAGCCGCAACGTTGCGAGAGCAAATGGGAGAGCGCGAGAGCGTGCTTGTATGTGCGTGTGTGGTAAAAACTACACAGGGAGAAAAGTTGGGATGTTAAAGTTATGATTATATCAGCATTCCGATTTGAGGTGGAGCAATTGTTAGATGTATATTTATAAAACATATTAATTTGAACTGCATTTTATAAAATAAGTTAAATGTTTCACTTGTTTTGTATTTGCTAAACTGCTTAAAGATAAAACAAAAATAACGCAATGTGTATAACATTATATAATTGATGAACATAGAGTGTACTCTATAAAATTATATGGTCTTCCATAAATTTTTTATAATTTTTAATATGTAGCTGATTATTTTCTTCAGTGTAGTAAGTTAACAAACTGACGACGTGTGTCCGTTTTTTTGGTGTAAGGAATAAAGAGAGAGAGAGAGGAGAGCGAGATCGAAGGTGGGTGGCAAAATGAAGAAGGAAGTGCAAGGGGATGGGGGACGGCAAGAAAGGCCAGAGAGAGAGAGAGAGAGAGCGACTCTCTCGCGTTTCATTGATTTTTCCCACCGAAAAGGTGAGAAAAGCGGTGAATGAGAGAGCGCGAGAGAGGGAAAAGCCCAAAAGAGCGGGAGAGGGAGAGCGCGGCAGGAAAACAAAGGAAAAACTTGTCTCGGCGTGACTGCAATTCATAATTAGATGGCCGCCTGCTGCAATTGCAATAAAAACAAAAACAAATACAAAACCCAAAACGGGTTACCCCCACCCCCTCCGCGCAATCACCCCACCACCACCAACACCAGCCGCCCCCCTTTTGCCCCCCCTCGCACCCAAAAAAGCCACCACCAAAACCAAATTCTGTGTCTCTCTTTCGGCCACCGACAAAAAATTGGGTAAAAAAAACAACAACGACAACACAAATACAGCAACAACAATAATGAGAGAACGTGGGCAAAACGTCGGGTAATTCAGTTAGTTTTAGCCGAAATTTAAGGGACCTACGTTCTCAAAAAAAGGCCCTTTTTGTTCTCAATAGTTGGAAATATTAGCATTCAAATAAAATTTTTTAACTAAAAAATTAATTTTAATAGTTGTTTGTGGTTTATTTTATTAAAATACAAGGCTACTAGATTTTTATACACATAAGAATTTAGGAAAAAATTCAGAAAGGCTCATTTAAAAATATATATTTAACATTTATGGAAATATAACTTTTAAAGAATAGATTTTTTTAAATTTTAAATACTTTTCTTAAACTAAAATTGGAATAAAAAGAATAAAAACATAGATTTTACAGAATTTTCATATTTTTGCCTTTATAACATGTATTAAAAAGGCTAAAAACTTAGGAAAGGTTAAAACATTTTTACAGAAAAGGTGGTAATAGATTGACATTTATAATTTTCGAGCCCCTTTTATAGGAAGTTGGCTTGGCGGTTCTATAGATCTCTTTGATCGATTGAACGCGTGACTTTCATTTCCAACTGGCGTTGCATCTTTATTTCGTAACAAAATTACCAACTTCCCTCTCTCTCTCGCTCGCTCTCTCTCTCTCTCTTACCGGTTCTCCCCCTCTCTGTTGGCCATAAAAAAGGCAACTACAAAAAGTGGTAGCAGCTCAAAGCCAAAAAGCAAAGCAAATGAAACGCAATGAGACTCGCTCTCCGTATTGGAATTTTTTTCTGTTTCTGTTGACGTGCAATTAGCAAAGTGGCCACATTCAATAATCCGTAAGCAAAACTCAATATGTGAAAAACAGAACAAAAAAAAAATAGAATCACCTGCTCTATCTAAACACCAAAAAATGTAGTACCAAGCACCTAAAAAATTTGAAAAGAAAACAAAAGTTGAAGTCAAGAAACCAGTCAACGTTGCTTTTGCCTGTTTTTTGCCACGCCGGTTTTTCTTCTTTTTTTCCGATGTTTTTTGTTGTTTTTTTAACGATTTATTTCTTTATTTGTACACTGTTTTTATCATTAAATGTAGTATATTATAAAACCAAAGAGAGCTTGCCAATAGTAGAAGAATGTACCACTGCATTTTTGTAAGCCCTATAGAAATTTTCCCCGAAAATTCGCCCTTCCTTTCTTTTATCAAAAAAAAATGGTCAGGTATAAAATAATTTGATGGTTCCAGGGAAAATATTATCAGTAATCTTTCCCTTACTTGTAGGAATTTTTCCAGGGATTTTTTTTAATAATATTTTATAATGATATAATAATATTTCCAAAGGGTGTACAAATTGTGAATTTCTTTTAAGGAAACAGGTCGACTACAATTTATTTCATCTTTGTCTAGCTAAAAATGGTTAATTTCTTGTAAATCTTTTAAATAAACATAGATAAGATAGATTTCCTTTTTTTTTCTAACAACTTTGTTAACAAATTTCCAACAAAACCAAATTGAATTGCAAATGGAAAGGTGCCTAATTAATTGTACCCGTCTTGCTGGACATTTTACCAATAAAATTCCCTATCGAAGAGTTCTTCATTCAACACACAGCTGCGTTTCTTTAATAGTCTTCCATCGCCAGCTGAATCAGAAGCACACACCTTGTTCTTCAGGTGTGTCAGCGTTATATATGTACGCTATTTCCTTCTTCATTTTCATTTTTTTTTACTATCCCCTTTCAGTAGTGTGTTTGCTGAACGTTTTAGAACTTGGTGGCTTCGACAGTTTTCCCATGGTTTTTCCAGCACTTTGAGTACCGGCGGGGCATTAACCCCCGTCTTATCGTCGGTGCGTGACGACCAGCCGAGAAAACTATAGGTTATATATAGCTAGTAAAACTGACCATCAGGCATAAGGTAATGAAATCGATCATCGGTCGAGATTTTCACACAGGCAATAGGCTCTTAAAAACGTGGTATTACATAAATCTGGGTCTAGATCGTGCCGGGAGTTAATGCAAGTCGACAGTACGACTGAGGAGGAAAAAAATGTACAAAAAAAGTAACAAATAAAACGTAAATTATAAATGCACATAAATTCCCCAGACAATTTTCCACTTTGCTCTGTGAGCAGCCAAGAAGCGAATGAATAATGGAACGAAAATTTGCTCCATCAAGCACGTGTATGCCAAATCCCCCCCCCCCATTTTCCACGTCCCTGAAAAACCACTAACACCGAACCCACCTTAAAAACTCCCTAAAAACCGACCCTCCTACCAGAAACTTAACCCATGGCAGATCAAACGAATATTTAGAATTTTGCTTTGTAGCTGGATTATATGTAAAATAAGAATTTAATTTAATTTTTAATGTACCTACTCATTTTAATTTTGAATAACCGAAGTACAGTGCGTGTCATGACCTTAGAGCGGGGTTGGGATGTTAAATCTAGCGTTATGAATATATAAATAAAATGTAGGGAGATAAACAAAACGTTTACGTAAAATAAATTTGAAAAACAAATAGGTACACAATCCAAAAAAAAGCATTTGACTGATTAAAAATAAGTTTAAAAATAGTTAAAGCATTAAAAGAGGTTTGTAAATTAAATCAATTGTAAATCCCAATAACATGGGACTACCTACCAACTGCCCTACGCTTGTGAAACGCACTGTACCCAAAAACATTTCAGAGTTATTGCATTCGTACTCATGTACCTATTTCTCTTTCTCTCTTCTTTTATGTATGTCACCACCACAACCACCAACCACACCAAAAATCACCAAAACCTCAATCAAAATAATTTACAAAAAAAAGTGTGCAATTTAAAATATAACCAAGTATTACACACAAAAAAAAATATAATGCAAAATTTGTCAAGTGTCGACGGCAAAAGTTGCTCAATATGAGCAAAAAAAGCAGCAACAACAACGACAGCAATAAAGCTGCCCCACAACAACAACAACAGCAAATAAAAATTGGAAAAGTGCAACAATACAAATGAAGCATATATGAAATAAAATCAAAATAACAAAAAATAAAATCCAGCCAAAAAAATTTAAAATTTAAAAATAATTTTTTTCTCCCCTCCAATTGCCTGGCAATATCTATTTGTTTATATATATATATATATATAGCATTACCATCTTCATATATATCAATTATATATGTAATTGTATTATATATTTGTGTATCTGTGTGTGTGTATTTTCGTGTGCATTCCATCCATTAATTCTATAACTCAATCTATGAAAAAAACCTTAACGAAATAATTTACTAAAAACGAAAAACACATAAAAATAAATTTACAAAAAAAAAACCAACAACCGAAAACGAACAATAAAAACCGCATGTAAAACGCGTAAACATAAATAAATACCAAAAAAATTACTATTTACAATTTACAATACAACCGTGAAACAAACGAAAATAATCTGAACCACAAATCGTGCACCAAAATGGCGGACATCATGCGTCCGCCGTACAGTGAGATCAAACGGCCGGACGAAATCGTCAGAATGACAACAGCCGACAATCTCAAGTTCGCCGTCCTCATCGGCCTCATCGAGGTTGGCCAGGTGACCAACCGGGAGGTGGTCAATACCGTCCTGCATTTGGTAAGTGCCGAAATCAGCCGAATAAACTAGATTTTTAACAGGTTCTGTCAAGTTATGAGCTAGTGGTGGTGCAAAATATCGATAGACCATCTTTATCGAGTGTTTTTCAGTCGAAATTGTTTTAGTACTTAATCTATTACCCATATTATATTACAAAAGTAAATAACAAAACATATTATTTTACTTTTTGAGCAATATAACGTTAATTAAATATGCTACAAAATATCGATTACCTTATGAATATTATCGATTGCCTTAAAATTAGGATTTTCAGTCATTATATAGTTTCTAAAGATCTGATATTGTGTGGCGATAAAACATATGTGTTACATTTAAGACTGTTTATAGTCTAGAGGCAAAATAAATAATAGTTAATGCAAAATCGATATTGATATCGATAGTACATCGATGAAAATCAATAGAATTGGTTGGTCCTTCAGAAAATATATGTTTATAATGTTAACTATTCTTTTTTATTACAACACAAAGGTTTAGCTACCCAATTTGTCTAGTTATCCGAATGGATTAAGAGTATAACACTCTGTTAGTAATTTGGGTACTTTTATTACGCTTCAAAAATGGTAAGGGTCATTGCTTTTGTGGGTCACAACATTGAAGTGAGATCAGAATAGAGATTTGGTTAACACTTTGTTTACCAGTCGTTTAAACTCATGGTTTATGAGTTCCATATGAATTAGCAAGCTCACAACTGACAAAAACATTGAGTAAGGGGCATTAAAGCAAATTTAAGAGCTAAAAAACAAAATTAAATAAAATAGATATACATTTATTTTAACTTAATTTCATCTTATGTCAATTATCCAAAAAATACTTTTAATAAATATATTATTCACTTAAAGCTCTTAAGCAATTAACAAAATAAATAGCATTAAAATTAACATTCATGCATGGCAATGCAATGCGTACAAAAAACCAAATGCATTTTAATTACATTCAGGTGTTGCAATGTTGCGTAAATAAAATTAAAATCAAATTATATCAATGAAAACACAGCCAGCCACACTTAATTTGGCTTGAAAACCTAAAGAGCCTGACAATTAAAATGAAAAAGGCAGCAAAAACAAAAAAAAAAAACAAAAATAAAAGTTCACTTGAAATCTCGACAGCAATTTAACTCTCTGTTTAGAAAGTAATTTTCCTCACACACACACGCACACACAGCAAGACTTTTCCCATTCCCATTAGAGGAAAATTAACATTTCCAGCAAGCCGCAAATGCAAAAGGATAAGAAGAGGAAGAAGAAAGGGTGGGGGGTGGTTGAGTGGGTGATTCTGGAGGTCGCCCTGAAAGTGGGTGAATTTTCCAAGAAGTATGCCAAAAATCTCGCCCAACTGTGGGGCTCTGTGATTAGGATCAAAAGACTGGGGGGACGACTAAGACAATGTCTATGCCACTTGTCTTCCTCTTGTCACGGCATTTTCTCACCATATCTCCCCGACTTTTCCACCCTCTACAGGTTTTCCCCCAAAGCCCAAGAAACATACATACGCAGTCACACACGTGGAGAACATTATTATTATAACATATTTAAATTTCTGAAGCTTAATGAAAACACGACACCGTCGCTCATCATTACCGCTCACTTTTCCTACCCCCCGTCCTCGTTAAAATGAAAATGAGAAAAACCAAGCGTCATCCAAACAGTCACCGCCAGGTGGCGCCTGCCACTGAGTCGGAAAAGTTATTCGAGTTTCAACCAAAAAAAAGAGGGAAAATTATAAGAAAATAAGAAAAACAGAATTTTCATCCAATTGAGGGGCCACTTTTTTGGCGTTGGCTCAGCTGGAAATGCGAAAATTATTTCTACGTCTTATACTAAGAACAATTTTGGTATTATATGTGGGAATTAACGTAGAATTGTATGCTATATAATGGTAATTAAACGCGATTCAAGTCTTTAAAAGTTCATTTTGAAATTATATACATAATACTATTATTATGAAATCGTTGAAATAAATAATAGATTTTTAAAACCTTAAAACTATCATCGTTAGATAAAAGTTTCGAAAAGTTACTATTATTAAAAAAAATATATATATATATCCTACTAGTCAGGGTTGTAAAGGTTCATTTAGAAATGCTGCCTATAATACTAATCAACAGTCGTTTAAATAAGTAACATATATTAAAAACTTAATATCATCGTTAGAAAGAAAATATTCCTTCAAAATGCCTTCCAAAAGTTACTGAAATTCAAAAAAATATCGTTTTTAAATAATAATTTGAAGTAATACTTGGTAAATCTTTTATAATTTATGGTAATATAACCTTAAATCAGGGATGTACATTTTGCAAGTGCAAAACGGATGTGGATGTTGTCAGCAAAAAGAGGAAATCCAGGCGGTAAAAGGGGTAGCGAAGGTATGAGGGGGTGTTAGTTAGTCAGTAGAGGGGTGTTCGTAATAAGAAATTGAAAAGAAATTGAATTGAAGTTCGTCATCCGCTGAGCGGCGGCGTCGTCGTCGTCGTTTTCATCGCACTCGAATAGCCTCAGATAAGATAAGCGCCAAACCGGCAGATAAATTGTAGATACAGACAGGTACACAGGTGTACACACCTACATATAAAGCAAAAAAAAAAAAGGCAGAATGTGTGCCAAGTGGGGGAATAAAAATACATTCATACATGCTTATATAGGTGGGTACATTATATGGCACGATCTGATAAGCATGAAAAAATGCGTTGACGTGTTCCAATGCCAGCTGCAGACTCAAACAATTCTCGCCACCCAAAAAAATACAAAAAAAAGTTCCACCAAGATAATAAAATAAACGAAGAAAAGTACCTACGCCTACGTAAAAGGCATGAAAAACCCCCTCTGTAGACATCCTAAAATACAAAAAAAAATCAATAGAAACAACGTGGTCGATTAATGATTATGGATATGGAGATGTTAATGGATGGCAAACGTTGATAGGGATGTGAACGGAATTATGGATATGGATAGGTTAGATTTGAGCAGGTGAGGTAGGGCTAGGACTAAGGGGGTTTCTTGTTTTTGGTAATGGATGCGTTTCATAGGTCGTATCTCACAGATATCATGTTAATGGATGGCTACAATTCCGGAAATTCCATTATGTTTGTGTATTTAGCTAGATAAAATTGAGATAATGCTGAGGGAATGCACCTTTTTTTTGCGAGTTCGGAGTGTAATATTTTTTAGCTTTATTGATAGGTTTAAGAAAAAAATTGACAAATTTACCACTAATTTCATGGAGAGTGCCTGGCAGGGTTGCCACCTCGCAAATATTTTAGCTTTTCAGGTAAATTACTAAAATTGTTATAACTTTTGAATAAAATAGATGCAGAACTTATAAGAATTGAAGAATTAATGACTCCTATAATTTTTAGATATGATATAACTTAAATTTGTAAGGCCTCAAACTTTACTCATTACCCTTGGAATATATTGGATCTGCCACACTTATCCTTACCATCTCTTTTTTTACGACCCCACCTCAACAAAAAACGAAACCAATCCGAAACTGAACTCAACTCATTTGGCTCACTTGAGGGTCACTCGCCATGTTGGCTTAATCGGTCATTGGGCTTGTTATACGGCTCAATTATGCCCGTTTTGCCATGTGGCGCATTTGCTTCTGGCCCTCAGTTTAGTACGACTCACTGATGCCCCCCCCCCCCCCACTGTTTTTGGCCATCGGCCATAGGCATTCCATCCCCTCGACAAATGTCCACCCAATCACCACCCAACCACCCACGCACCACCCACTCTCTTGAATCCAGAGTTTCGGAAAAGCCTTCTGTTGGTGTCACGTGCTGGAGAGGCAAAAAGCCTTTTAATCGATTTCTTGTTCTTGTTCTCGTTCTTGTTTTCCCTTCTCTGCTAGTAAAATAATCGTTTAATGCAAATCGCTTTTTGTTTAGCCCCTAAAAATAAGAAGGTATTTCCTAAGCACTAAAAATCCAACAGCGAAATGCATAAAAAAAAGAAGAGCGATTTGGTTTTGTCAATGTTTTACTCTTCAAGGGAAATGGGAACCCCTTTTAATTGCATTTCGGGTTTTGGGTTGGAAAACACTCTCTTGAAATTTAATTAGGATGTTGGAAATAGGAGTGGTCGTAAAGTTTTATTATAACGATTTTCCTGAAAGTACAAATTCAAATATTATGCAAAGCAATAATAAAATGGATATAACAAAAATTATAAAAATACGTTAAAGAACTAAAGTAATATCATATCTTAGATGGTACCAAGCAGTATCTTTTATACCATGTGTAAATTTAGCATTTGAAATTTTTTTTTTTTATAAATATTATCTTGATAAATATTTGCACACATTCGTTTCACAATCAGCAATTATTGTCGGTGAGGCAGTACTTTTTCTTCCTCTTCACATTTAGTTAGTTAGGTTCTCTGTTTTTTTTTTCTTTTACCCCCCTCTATTTATCTTGTTCTTTATAGGTATACCCCACACTTTCTTTTTTTTTGTTTAGTTCCCTCTTCACCTTTACATATCATTTTCTGGCTGATAAAGTCGTTCGGCACGAAGGAAGAAAAAGGTGGAAAAATACAAAATAGAAATGGGGGTTCTACTAAATAATGTACGAACATACTTTGCTACTTTTACTTAATTTAATTAACGGCCCGGGCAACAATAACAACAGCAACAACAATAGCAACATGACTTTGACGTCGACGCCTGTCAGCTGTTCAAGTGTCAGAGAGGAAACAATGAAAATAGGCTTTATATTGTTGGCATCCTGATGAAGGACACCGTCGCCAGATGAGAGGGGGTGGTTTTAGGGGTGGCGGCGACCGAGTGGGTGGTTTTTGGCGGCCGCAAAGAGCACTGGGAAAAATCTACAGGTTTTGATATTCCAGAAAAATTTGAACATCTTGAAAAACTTTCTTATATATTATGATATATATAGTAAATAATTATAGATATTATTGGTATTTATTATTATATATATAATAAATTATAGATATTATTGGTATTTAAAAAAAATACCTTAA